TTTAGCACCATGCACCGAGTCAAAAACATTAGCCGAATATCTCAAAAGTGAAGTGTCAGAGTGTGAAAGTAGATGATTGAGAAATTCTTCAATAACTAAATGACGTGCCTAGTTCTCATTCTTGCTAAGTCAAGTCTTGCCAAGTATAGCTTCTATTGTCCGAAATGGCATCTGCGCCGACGATACCGATCTCAATAACGCCAGCAGGCTTTCTCATATTGGGATCGTTATTTTTAAATCTTTAACCTCAAGTTGCATTCACTCATTTAACTTTCAACAAGGGTGTATTAAATAGAATGTGCAATGGAGAATCCGGGACATGCATATCTTTCCAAAATTAGAATCCTTTCTTTATATGGGTACATGTTCTGAACGTAAATCATGAAAAAATCTTTTGTTTTTGCAGTGGGTTATTATAGAAAACTCTACATTCTATTTTAACTCTGAAAATGGAAAAACCAAAATCAGTGAACGTTTGGCTCGGATCAGAACCTGGAATCCTAAAAGCCGTTGATCTTGTCGGAAAAGTTGCAACGAATTATTACGATCAATCAAATATCGGGAAAGAACAGGAAATTGTTTCAATGTGTCGGGATGGTAGTGGCGGCTCTAAGATTTACACGGGACATAAATGTGGCACAATAAGACAATTTGACTACAATACGGGGCAGTTTAACCCCCCAATTCCAATCCCCGAATTTGATACCTCGTCCGATGAGTTAGTAAGAATCTACAAACATGATGAATCCTTCGTTACTTGTACTACTAAAGGAAATTTCTTGGTTTGGAAAAATCAAGAAAATACCTCCGAAATTATACAAAACAGTAATTTAGGGCCTAATATCCATGATGTTGTCTTTAATAAAGATAGAAGTAAGTTTGCCTCCGGTGGTAAAGAAAACGCTTTAAAAGTTTTTGATTTTGAAAGTTTAGAAAACCCGATTTTTAAAGCGAAAAATGTTCCACATGACTGGTTACAACTCAGAGTCCCTATTTGGGTCACAGGAATTCGTTTTTTCGAAAATTCGTCCAAAATTGTAACATGTACCGGGAAAAGTCAAGTTAGATTGTATGATACTGCAGCTGAACAGCGAAGGCCGGTAATTGAAATGAAATTTGATGAATACCCGCTTACTGCTGTCTCTTTGACGCACAACGAGAATCAAGTTATAGCTGGAAACACCAGGGGTATGGTCGGAATGTTCGACTTACGAAAAAGGGGATTGGTTCGTTCTTTTAAAGGATTAGCGGGGGGTGTACGATGCCTCGAATGCCACCCTACATTGGATTATATTGCCTCGTGTGGTCTCGATAGATTTTTACGGATCCATAATATAAACACTGGTAAATTGGAATATAAAGTTTATTTGAAAGCGAGATTAAATTGTCTCATGTTCAGTGATCTTGATTTTATCGCTGATGCGCGAAAAGCCGCTGATGCAGAAAAAGAAGCGGAGCAAACTCGAAAACGTAAATTTGACAACGAAATTTTGGATGGGGAAGATGACACCTTGTGGCGAAAAATGAAAACTATTAATGACAATGATGACTCAGCAAATTCCGAAAGTGATGATGATGAACAAAATGATGAGTCATCATATTCTAGTGATGATTCTTCTTAACAATACCAGACAGTCTACCTTTGTTAGATTGTTTGTATGTATGGTTATTTGCTGTAAACTGTAACAGCATTTGTACCAAATGAGTATATGATTTGCAGAGGCACTAAACCAGGTGTCAGCAACCTTTTGTCGCTGGCGGGCCAAAATTAAGGTTGCAAGTCATTAGCGGGCCGCACATATTTTTAGAAAGTTGAAAATCCGATCGGATGGTACTTTTTATAATAAAAATCAAGCATCTCTCGAATAGAATATAGATTTATTCCCTCATTGCATCTCATAAAATTCCATTTGAATATTTTCAGCGCCATTGAACCCTTTGCATCAACTTTTCTGCGTTTTGTTGCCATTTGCCTAATTATTATAATTAAATTATATGCTCAATAAACGAGTAATTGTGAAATATATAATTGTTAGGTTATAATATAATTTGGTCTAAAGAATATATTCGTCAAACCGGATGTTTTATTACTATAATTTAGTGAAGCGTCGCAGGCCGGATTATAGTGTTATGCTAGCTTAAGACAGTTGTGCGACATGTACCTTTTCATGATTTTTTGTACAAGTCAAAATTAAACGACATCTGCTTACCATATGAATAGCGAAGACGGGGGCATAGCAAGTTCTGAAATTTTCTAATTGACAGGACTGTAACAGCTGGTGGAGATTTGGGTTTTCAATAGTCCTAAAGGTCTTAAAAGCTTGAATTGCTATGTATGATACAGGAATATGTTTTTTTTCCACAATTTAAAAGGGGGGTTCTGACCTGCGATATAATTCAACCATTAAGAGTGTTTTTTTATTCATTTTTCCTTCAACAATACTACTCTGATCGTTTATCTGACATGTATGAATCAAATTTGACTTATCTCAATTGAATTTTGAAATATTGTTATTCAAAACGAAATATATAAACTTGAACACACAAAGTCATTTTTTGATTGGTTCTCGTAACTGGTGCGATGGCTCAAGGGCATAGCCAGAACTTTCGAAGGGGTTATTCTGAAATTCCTAATTGCCAAGTTAGCCCGTAACAGTCGGTGTGTCTTTAAGAATCTTGAGTCTAAAAAAGGCTTCAAGCTACGAAAGATTTCTATGTGTGATTCTCATACAGATGCTATTTTTTGGGTCTCATGTAGTTTAGTACCTGACCTACTTCTAAGAGAGATGGCTGTTCTATTTCGGGTTCTCGTCTTGGATGACAGTTCGTATAGTTTGAAGGACAGTCGTAGTGACGTAATTTTTGGATGGTGTGGTCAGGTGGGGCTTAGGATTGACACATGAAAAAATTGTTATTCTACGCCCACTAGAAGTATGTTAGGTACGAAACTACATGAGACCCCTTTTTTTACATGTTTTGACCCCCCAAACCCCATTTGGCTTGCCTCTGATTTCCGTCCCCTCCCTCCTAAATTTCACTTATCGTGAGATATCAGTACATGCTTAAACACATGGCCATGTCAGAAGCGTGTAAAAAGTACTGCAATAATCTTGTCTCATCTAATTGTAAATTTGCTGGCACCTCGCTTGGCTGATATTCCGTAGAATTGACAGAAACAATTCGCTGATCATGAAAAATTTATTTTACACAAATTTGCATATCTGATGGTTGAAGCAAGAAATAAAATTTTAAAATGATAAATAAATTAATACAGATTTTCATTCTTGTGGCTAATTGAATAAATTAAATTCTTTGTATTGAAAGTTTCAACCAGTGGTTCTCAAAGTTGATTGATCGGGGGGGGGGGGCAAAATCAAAAGGATATCAGGTCCTTGTCAGAAGCGTACAACAGAAAAAAATACTGCAAGTCTCATGTATTTTAATTTTGCTTGACTCGTATTCCCAGAGAGTTGCCAACAACAGTTCGCTGATCATGAAAAATTAATTTCACACATATCTGATGGTTGAAGCAAGAAATAAAATTTTGAAATGATAAATAAATAATACAGATTTTCATTCTTGTGGCATGATTGAATAAATTAAATTCTTTGTATTGAACGTTAAAGAAGTGGTTCCCAAATTAATTGACCGGGGACAAAATTAGAAGCGTAAGAATATTCGCTGGCCGGGAGAAGGGAGCACCCGCAAAGGCGCTTCTTGTATGTGATCCTAATACCATTACGTATAATTAAGATCCAGTATAATTGAATTGTTAAGAATATACTCGATAATGATGTAACTAGGGTTGCCATACCGTCCGGAATTTAGGGTTAAATTTTGCGTCCGGGAAGAATTTAAAAAATGCTCAAATGTCCGGAATCCGGAATTTTACTGCATCTGCAATCGTACTGTGCACACTGCTAATACAGAACATTGTTATTTCGTACCGTGCGCATATTTTTTTAATAGAGGACATGAAATTAGTCATGGACTGTCCGGAATTTTGCTTTTTCAAATGACCCTAGATGTAACAATATTGGCGATATCTAGAATGTAAATTGACAGTTAAAGTGTAAAAGGTACCATAATGGGCCACAGTTAAGCATTCTAATATAATAAGTATATTGAAAAATGAAGTAAATATATGAACCACTGAAAGAATTTTGTTTTGTGAGTTTATTGGGGTGCTGTGTCAGGTTCAAAATCCCATGACCTCCACATCGGTGAAGGTTATTATATATTAGATCAGGGGTGGGCGCGGCGGTGTGGCTCAACGGGCTAAGCGTTAGGAATACGCTCGCCACCGCACCTCTAATTACTCTGCGTGGGTTCGCAGGTTCGAATCCCATGCAGGGATGGTTATGTGCGAGAGGATTGCTGGGCTCCTCACCGTCGTTGGGTGGTTCGTTACGGCTTCCTCCACCACCAAGTCCATGCTTCCAAAAACAAACAATACAGTAAAAACTAATCCCATACCCGACTTGAAATGGTAACCGGACGAGAGGCCGTGGTTCGCCATATGGATAAGCCGTCTTATCGGCTTTCCTCTCCCCCGGGATAAATATGTAAATCCTATCCTAACTTTTAATACAGGAGGGCCAGATAGAAATAACTGGGTGAAACAGCGGGCCACACCTTTATTTAACATAGGCTATCCAGCAGTTGCAACTTGCAAGCACAAAAATTTTGGTTATTGATCTTTGGCCATGCGTTGTTTGCATAAGCTAGCTGTTGAGGCATTGTGAAGTTATAGGCATGCCAGATAATAAATTGTACCCAGTACTCGGCACTTCTCAGCGGGCTGCACAATTTTTCCTTGTGGGCGGCAGGTTCCACACACCTGTATTCGATAGCTAATAATGAACTGGAAAGATTCTGGCTTTGAAAGCGTGAAGTGTCTCTTTGGGGTCATGGCAATATTGAGGACTTCTCGTGGCACCCAATAGGTGCCTCATAAGTCTGTTGAATTGATCATAATTTAGGGCACTTCTACTATGATCCATATTTGGTCTTATTTTATTTTGGCAATTCGAGACCACAGGAAACAACGATACAAAACAATAAATTAAATCAGAGGGCGTGAGAGTCAAATGAATACAGACAGCCTTTGCAATACATACCAGCGCCTATGTACAGATTTATACCGCTTTCTTGAGGGTTGGTCTGAGCTATGACTGATACAAATTAGGGTTGGGGTCCTGGAATGAGAGCAACTAGCAATTTTAGCGGCCAAGTTGATCGAATTATTTTTTCATTGTCATAATTTTCTAATACTTGAAACAAATGAAAAATCTATCTTTTTCAGCAAATATAGGATGCCCATAAAGTCTTAAAAAATTTTGAAATTGTGGAGAGAATTTATCGATACCATATATTGTTTTGGCCCTCACAGATATATTAAATAAAGTAAAAATACTTGAACAATTACTGATTAAAAAACAACAAACATGGTTAAGGTATATTGAGAAATGACTTCATAACAAAATTGAAATTGTGGAGGGACTTTATTGTATATATATATTGATTCAACACCTTCAAATCATATTTTATATTAAAAGTTAACTATTAAAAATTTTTAAATCCTTCGCATCATGACTTTGAATCATGTTACCATAAAACTGCATTTGGGATGATGTTTCATGGTAGCGGTCATACCAAAATATTTGGAAAGTGAAAAATGAAGCTACGGAGCTAGAGCCACTCTGGCCCTGCTACAAATTAACCAGTGGTGGGATTCAGCCGGTTCGCACCGGTTCTATGGAACCGTCTCACAGAATTTTATGAGATCAGCAAACCGGTTAGCATTACTGGTTACTGTCAATGACTTTTTGTAACAGAACCGGGTGAAAAATATGACTTTTGTGATGGAACCGGCTGACAAAAAAATTGAATCTCACCACTGAAATTACCTTATGGAAGAATACCATTTCTATGGACATCTCAAACTGTAAGACGTACCTTAATAATAAGAAGAATAAAACATTTTAAAAACATTTTGGTCAATTAATCTCAATAAAGCGAATGATGACTTCAGAAATTGTCTTTGAAGAGTTCTATAATTGAGTTACTGGAACATCTTTTTCTACATTCTCGTAAGCTCGATATTCTGAAAGAAAAGAGTAACGGTCAAACACAGGCGTTTTAACGACATGCCAGCAAAAATAAAAGAAACAATAACGTATTTGTGTTCAATGAGAAATAAAGGGTGTCCATGAAGTCTCAAATTTTTTAAAATTGCAAAGGGAGTTCATCTATACCATATGTTGTTTTAGACCCCACAGATGTATTAAATGAAGCAAAAACACTTGAACAATTACTGATTAAAAACAACGAAGCTGGTTGAGATATGTTGAGAACTGACTTCATAACAAAATTGTAAAGGGACTTTATGGCAAAACGGGGAAAGATTTATCGCGGCTACAATAGCAAAAAAACATGTATTTTTGTCCAGGTGAGCGCTTTTTCAAATATAAGCCTGTCGGATTAAGATTTTAACTCTATGAGGGAAAATCTGAGTTTTGACACAGGCCACACTGAATGGATTAGCGGCTCGGGTGGTGGCCGGCAGGTCGCCTGTTGCACACCCCTGGTCTTAAGTGAATAACTGTTAGATCAGCGGTTCCCAAACTTTTTGTTCCTGTGGGGCCAAATTATTAGAAAAAAACTCACGGCGTTCCTACACAAAGAATAATTGCTGCTTTTAAATGACACTCAATTTTGTGATTTTTAATGTGTACTTTATGTTTTTTAACGTTTGTAAACATGTAGGCCCGATGGATTAATAGCAAAAGCTCATCTCTGCCTGATTTTTCTTCGAAATGCTTTGGGAACCGCTGTGCTAGACCATTCCCATAACCAACATTGACTAGTAACTGAACGAGAGGCCGTGGTTCGCCATATGCATCAGCCAGTTTTTTCAGCTTTCCTCCCATCCAGGCTACATATCAGAACTCAAATCTACCTGTTTTATCTTCAGGAACATCTTCCTTCATCTCCATTCCCCCGTTGTCATAATAAGTGTTCCCATTTGATGGAGAATATTTCGTTTTTTCTTGTTTTGTTTCATAGTCTTCAGAAGACTAAACCAAAAATACAATGTCAGAAGAACAAAGTCTATTCCAATGTACATTCCATAATGTTTTTCTACACCAGTGGCGTTGCCAGGAATGTTCAAAGGATGCACCAAGATGGCGTATAACCTGAACCCTAACCTGGTACACATACTATGTTCCGGTTGTGCGCCATCTTGGCCACAGTTTGAAATATAATGTTGCAAATGTGCAAGAATGGGATTTTACTGCGCGAATGGTCAGTTGTGCACTTCAGAGGAAACCTTGATTAGGATCCTTAAGTACCAGTAGCTGCTTGTAGAAAGCTTTGTTCTGAATGAAGGCGTATGAGTGTCTCATAAAATATCAACTTATAGGCTTTCCTCCCAGAAAGTAAATACTTACAATATCATTTCCTTTATTCTTTTCATTAAAATGCATCACTGCGGCAAAATATATGACAGCAACAACTAAGACTGATCCAACAATGCAGAAAACGATTTGAGTGATCGCAAATGATTCTCCTGGTTGGACTAAGTACCTGTGAGGAGAGTTTCAGTAGATAAGATTCAGGATTTACATATTTATCCCGGAGAAGAGGAAAGCCGATTTTACGGCTTATACATATGGCGAACCACGTCCTCTCACCCGGTTACCATTCCAAGTCGGGTATGGGATTAGTTATATTGTTTGTTTTCGGAAGCATGGACTTAGTGGTGGAGGAAGACGTAACCGACCAGCGGTTACGTGAACCCCCCAACGGCGGCGAGGAGTCAAGCAATCCTTTCGCACATAACCATCCCGCATGGGATTCGAACATGCAAACCCACGCAGAGTAATTAGAGGTGCGGTGGCGAGCGTATTCCTAACGCTTAGCACGATGAGCCGCGCAATAATGCATTATTGGAATAGAATCACTGCTAGAGTTGGCTTGTTAGTGCTGGCTATAAGTAGGCTTACCATATATACAAAACAAATAACCGGGACATTGCAGGTTATACAAATCTTGGGTCAATTCCGATGCTTAGTAATATTAAACCCATTCAAATATCAGTAATATATTCAAATCATTGGAAAACTTGCACTTGAGAATTGAAAAAAAAAATGGACCTCCTGAAGTATGTGCACTAAGATGGCGCACAACCTGAACTCAGGCTGTGTAACAGGTTAAGGTTCAGGTTGTGCGACATCTTGGTGTGCATACTTCAGAAGTACCAAAAAAATTGGTATTAATATTAAATAAAAATAAGTAAAACTGCCATACTGAATGACCGAGACATTTGAGTCTACTGGACTGGATGCCGGAACATCTTATCAAAATTGGGACTTTCCCGGCTAAACCGGGACGTATGGTTAGCTCAGGTATAAAGTTTTCGTCACTGTTCTTTCAAGCCTGAAGTCGACTCAATCCTGGAGTCTCATTGGCAATCAGACAAGCCTCCACTTATGCATAAATAGCTACCAGAAACCATAATCTTTTGATCTTTAGCTTGTGACACAAATACTCTCACAACAAGGTCATTGTAGCCTACTCACCTGTACATAGAAGCTGCGTCATCGTCACTCACAATGTACGATTCGTTCAACCACAGAATCGGGAAAACATAATACATGTCTGGGAATTTGTTCATGATGCTAAAAAGTAAAAAATATATTTAGACTCGGCAGTGTCGAACTTTGGCGTATGCAACAGCGACGTAGCCAAGAATTTTCAAAGAGGGGAGAGGGGTTCTGTAATTTCTAATTACCAATTAGACCATATCTGCTAGCGGGTCTGGCGGAAAAACGTGAGTTTATTAAGACTCTCAAAGATCTAAATCTCAAGCTACGAAAAATTGCTATGCATGATACAGAAATTGTTTTTGGATTTTAAAAAGGTGGGCGAGGAGGGGGGGTTGCGACTCTGAAATCTCCATGGGTACATCTTCTGGTATGCAAGTCTTTTCCAATAGGCTGTTTGAAATGCTCAGCAAACTCAAAAAATTTTATTTCACAATTGAATTTATATGAAATTCCAACTCCCGACTCTGGGATATTCCAAATTTCAATCCACTGGTAGTTTGAAAGTACACGTGCAGCTCTGCTTATTTGGTCGCTTCCGTAGTATGTGAACCAAGATGGCAGACACCGGAACATAGTATATGTACCAGGTTAGGGTTAGGCCATAATTTTATTTCAATATTTTTTATATTAGTTCTATTACGTGTTCAGGGACTAGCCAAGTGACTCCCGTAGTATTTGTACCTAAAATTATGGCCTAAGCTAACCTCAACCTGTACACATACTACGTTTCATGGTCCGACATCTTGGTTCACATACTACGGGAGTACCCTTATTTGTCATTTCTAAAAATGAGAGAGAATAAATACAAACTTACTCATAATGTTCAAATGGCATCATGTACATGTTAATTTGCAACCTTTTGTCAGCTCTGATACAGATCCCTGTGCTCTGAAAACAGCAAATAGAACATGTTCGGACATCGCGCTTAGCATTAGGATTACGCTCGCCACCACACCTCTGATTAACCTGCATGGGTTCGCAGGCTTGAATCTCATGAGGGGTTGATTATGTGCGAGAGTATTGCCGGACTCCTCGCCGCTATGGGTTGCTTTACGTACGCTGTAGGTCGGATACGACTTTCTACACCATAAAGTCAATGCATTTGGAAACAGATAACTGGTAAACTAACCCATACCCGACATGGACTGTTAACTGGATGAGAGGCCGTGGTTCAACATATGCTCAAGCCCTCTTATCGACTTTCCTCTCCTCCAGGATAAATATGAAAATCTTATCCTATGTTGAATTCATGTAGAATCTGAGATTGGGAAAGTCGCTTTTTATCCAGGACATATGGGAAGCCTATATGACAGTGGTTACAACAATCTTTGAATGTAATTATTTGTGCCGATTGTAAGGTGTGTATCACTGTAAGACCTCACTACTGCAATCTCCATGGTTACCGAGTTAGTGGTGTTTGGAGTCATTTTTATTTTGTTGAAGCGAGCACCTGCTGGCTATAGCAGATCGCATCGAGGTATTTTAAGGTTTTTCAATTAACATACATAGTTAAGACTTTTTATTTAACAGCTTATGTTTATAATTGATTGCAATTTGTATGTCTTGCGCCTATTTACAGTATAGTGGAAAAATAAAATATTGATTACTGATGTAAAAACATAAAAGAACTCACAGGTTCATAAACTAAAGGAGTGGCATGATCATCTTCATTTGGTTCCAAGCCTTCAACAAAATCTAGATAATATTCTGCGTACAAAAAGTGAGGTGACGTCATGAAGATTGGGGCACCTGAGAAAATAAAATTGGTCATTTTATAATTGGGAAAAGGAAAACTAATAAGACCGTGTGTAATATTCAAAGGCTTGAATCCAAATAACACAGGCTTCAATTGCTCACAGAATATATTATATTGCATGAAAGTAAATAGAAATACAACATACGTCCGTCGCTCACATAGATTAGTTCTAGAATGTTCTATCATGCGGCCTAAACTAGATCACTAGGTGTCCTCATATTATTATGTCATAGACCAAATATAAGACATAAAATATAGCAGTATTTCATGGAAATTACACCGTGTACCCATGGAGTTTGACATATTTCTATTCTATTTAAGTCTTCATTTCAGACAGCATAGGCATGACAGTGGGGGCATGTCATAATAGACAAGAAATAACATAGGTAATAAGGCAATAGGTAATAACACTGATATGACATACAAATTAAATTTCTTATACATTTACAAAAGGGGGTTCCAACCCATAAAATGGCTATCCATAGAGAGGTACAATGGCAAGTGTGTTCGCAATGTTTAGCACTATGTGCCTCATCTTCTTACCATATAAGCATGAAGAAAGTGGCAATCCTCCGCTGTGTTGACAGACATCCAAACTGAGATCAGGACACCAACATTCATTGGGTTCATAAGTACTAGGCGCTTCGAATAATTGTCGCGGGATTCTGTATTCCCATCCTGGTACGCCTTTAATGTTCACTTCTTCATAGAATTCAGCATACATGGACCTGAAAATTTGAAATGACATTTTTTATGTATTAAAGTTCTTACATTCAAAATTAATCGGTTCAGAAAGTTGGGGTGCTCCCGTTGTATGTGTACCAAGATGGTGCACAACCTGAACATAATATGTGTATCAGGTTAGGGTTATCAGGTTGTATACCTCGGTGCACATACTACGGGAGTTACAAAGTTTGTGCTTCGTTCTGAAGCAGGGTGGTGCAAGTTGCAAGATTGAGAAGCCACAAAAATTTTTGAGAAGGCCTTGCGGGCGCATTCAGGAAAACTCAAAAGTGAACAAAAAACACTACAAGATTAGTTACTACATGGTCTCCGCTTGAAAATAGAGGTAAGTTTTTATTGAAATAAAGGCACAAAATGTCTCTCAAGATAAGGAGTTGCTTGATGCGAGCTTACACGGTGTGAAATTGAGATGAAAACAGTGACTCATCTCATCCCAAATTGCCTTTCTCCTTATTGCTCCAAGCAAACATACACTCATTATCATTATTTTTATAAAACAAGCACACGTACGGCTGTCTTGACATGCATAGCCTCTCGAATTTCACAGGACGTCATTCCCATACCGGCACCGCCTTATTTCGAACAATAATATTTTGAAGGAATTCTAGTATGAGAGGAAGCGGCGCTCCGGGAGTATGTGTACCAAGATGACGCACAACCTGAACCCTAACCTGGTACACATACTATGTTCAGGTTGTGCGCCATCTTGGTACACATACTTCGAGAGCACCGAAGAATGAAGGTACCTGTTAATTATTTTGGCATTACTCGCACAAGGTGATTACTGCGTTAAAATGGTAAAAAGTTAAAAATGCAGATAAAACTTCACACATACCTACAAATATCATCCACAAATATATACATTGTTTCATCTTTATTCATAAAAGCTGGCATAGTTGTTCCATCTAAATGTGAAATGCATTCAGTGAATGAGTATGTGTACCATGTTAGGGTTAGGCCATAATTTTATTCCAATTTTTTTATTTTAGTTCTATTGGGAGTTCGGGGACTGTCTGTGTTTGCCAAGTGAATATCCCCATGCCCATAGGTTTCAGTCCCTTCACACAACTTGATGTAAAATAGGCGAACAAAATTAGTTACCTCCATATTTGTACACTCTTCTGGAGCGCCAAATTATCATCTGGTGGGGATAATTAAAAGTGAGATAATTGCTATACTCAGTATGCTCCCAAGAATATTCATTATATAAGGGAGTTCAACTTTAGATGGTTGTAGTCAACGTTCCCTCTTAAGCTGTGCAGCTGGCCGAGAATCCCCGCGCGGTACTTTCGTTCCGCGCGGTACTTTCGTTCTGCCGCGCACTGGAGTTTATAAAATAAATTCTGTGTTCGTTTAAAATGTTTCTAATTTTCCGCGCTGACCTTTTTTTTGAGCTCACATGGCCTTCTTTTCCGAGCATGTAAGCAAGCTCTTAGAGGGAACGTTGATGGTAGTTATTTTGCTATAACACTATTTTCATTCTACAGGAATGTGTTATATATTTGACTAACCATCTGTACTGCTATATCCCTTTTCTGGATATTTAAATACAATTTTATTCAAACTTGCGCTGATTATTTGGTTTCTGCGAGACTAACTACTTAACCTTCTTCTATGCTTTTGTGCCGGCGAATCCGTATGCATATATTGCAAGGATGCTGTAGCAAGAGTAAAGATAACTATCTTAAGTGATACAAGAGTCTTGCCGCACACTAACACAAATATATTTCTGTAACGTTTCGTCTGACAACGGTCAGACTTTTCATACATAGTTGAACTATGTACGCCTGTACGGTATGTCTGAAGAAGTCTGACCGTTGTCAGACGAAACGTTACAGAAATATATTTGTGTTAGTGTGCAGCAAGATTCTTGAATCACTTAATTTTATTCAAGTTAGGAATTAAGGTGTGGTGTCACACCTCTAAATTAGAGGTGGGAGGGGCGTTCCAAAAATTTAAGAAGGTTTTTCACCTTGTGTAGTAGGGAAATTAATGGCTGTACTCTTCATTGTCAGCGGCTGGTCAGACACCAATCGAATACAAGAACATCTGGTTAAATTATTTCCAATCACTTAGTTTACATAGTTCCATCTTAAATTTTCATTTCTGGGTCAGGTATTGAGTTCGGGTCTTTAACTTGTTTTCAATTTCACTACTAGAGCCACTGATACTAATAAACACTCACCGGGGCTCCCGAAGTATGCGAACCAAGATGGCGGACATCGGAATGTAATATGTGTACTAGGTTAGAGTTAGGACATAATTTTAGGTATAAATACTACGGGAGGCTCTTGGCTAGTCTTCGAACTGATAATAGGACTGAAATAAGGAAAACTGGAAAAAAATTATCGCCTAACCCTAACCTGTTACCCATGTTACGTTCCGATGTCCGCCATCTTGGTTCGCATACTTCGGGAGCCCCCACTCACCTGTTCCATTTATCATGTTGCATTCTTCTCCAAACCAGAAATCAAGTTCCCTGAGAAGCAAAAAACGTGGCATGATCAAAAGATAACTTAGCATTCTGACACAGACATGTTTCCCCACATACATAATTTCTTCTATTTTAAGAGTGAAATTCGCAAGCATATGCGGGAACCAGGGGCATAGCTGGGAGGGGGATGGGGTGAGGAAATTTTACAATACATAGGAAATTTTAGTAGCATGAAATTTGAAATGCTGCTTGGACCCTTAAGACCCATTACCCGCCTGTTGGACCCCCCCCCCCCCCCCCAACTCTTTAAAATTGTTGGCCCTTGTAGGACCCGAAATCTATGTTCAGTGGTATATTCCAAATTATAAGAATAATCTCCCTTTTGTATGACACATACCAACAACGGTTCCATTACATTTGAACCCACGTACATTTGAACCCATGACAATTGCACCTGTATACTATTGCACCTATGGAATTTTTTTTGTTTTTCGGATAGTTGAACCCATACTAACCCTAACCCATGGGTTTTAGCACCCGCATATAGATTGAACCCGTGGATATACGCATGGGTTCAAATGTACATGGGTTCAAATGTACGGTCACCACCAACAACATGCAGTGGTGTATTTAGGGTGTGTCAAACTTGTGTGTGCCAAGGCAACCGTTCTGAAAGCGGTGCCAACGTATAAGTATCTCAATCCGATAATAATTGTTAATAATTTTCAGTAACCGATCAAGGAGGGGTGAAATTTTTAAACTTTGCAAAGTGTGCCAGTTCACACAAATACGCCATCAACAACATGTACATGTTCAATAAAAGCAAACATAATATATATTTAATTATATTTAAACAATATACATGTATTAATATAGACCAGGGTAGTCCAAACCCAGGCCCGCTGCTCCATTATCTGTGGCCCGCGTCGCATTGGCGGGAGGGTAAAAAAAACTCATTTGGTGTTGTTTCGTCATAAAAAAATTTTTTTTGCAAGTTTTAGTGAGTTTTTGCATGTTTTAGCTTGATAAATGACAAATAATGGAAAGCGTTTGTTTTGTATTGCACTGTTTACATATTCTTGACACTATTGTGGCCCGCGAGGTCGACAACCTTGGACGATCCTGATATAGACTCTGGAATTTGTATGACAACTTGCAGAACCCCTGGACAGTACTGGTGAAACCCTAAGGTGCCGTGGAGACCAGGTTAAAAATCACCGCTCTATTTCCCTCACTCTGATTTTGGAGCCAAAATAATCTTAGTAAATATGGGGAGGAGATTTTACCTGATGTCATTATAAGCAATGAGCTTGTTCATTAAGAGGTAACTCTCCTTCCCTGTGTAGATCGTATAGTTGTACCATCCTGCGGAGTTATTCATCTAAAAGTAAAAAATATTTGAATTAACATGACATTAACATTGGTATAAAGCAGCAATACCAAGCCGGGAGCCACAGGGCAGTTGGAAGGGGGCCACAATGCTAGGCGCAAAACTGATCCTATTTTCCACTTTACAGGAAAACTTTCCGTTCTTCCTAGTTTCATTGCTTGATAAGGTTATTTCACAGAGTGTTTTCACTTTCTTGTACATGAATTGTTTGAACATAATGAGATTTGGAAACTACCAATCAAAAGAACACTATAAATACCACTGGAATGATAGGATAGGATTTACATATTTATCCCGGGGGAGAGGAAAGCCTTTCCAAGTCGGGTATGGGATTAGTTTTTTACTGTATTTTTTGTTTTTTTCGGAAGCATAGACTTGGTGGTGGAGGAAGCCGTAACCGACCAGCGGTTACGTGAACCACCCAACGACGGCAAGGAGTCCAGCAATCCTCTCGCACATAACCATCCCTGCATGGGATTCGAACCTGCGAACCCACGCAGAGTAATTAGAGGTGCGGTGGCGAGTGTATTCCTAACGCTTAGCCCGTTGAGCCACACCGCCGCGCCATGTCAAACAGGCACTCCGTCCGGAAGGGGGCCACAACCAATAAAAAGTTGGGAACCACTGGTATAGGGGTATAACCCATAGAAAAAGAATTCAGATTATTTTGAACATATTCTAGAGCAGTGGTGCCAAACCTTTTCACAAGCAATCAAAATTGAAAAAAAAAAATAAAAATTAAGGTATATGATTCAGGAATATGCTAAAATACTAAACAAGAGAGTGCTTTTATGGCAGCAAAATTAAATTAATGAAATGAAACAAGCATTTTTACAGAACATTTATTTTCCCATGAATCACGTCAAAGTGAGGAAGCGTTGGTTTGCCATCAACGAGTTTTTGAAATAGTGGCATGTCGGGGCTCCCGAAGTATGCGAACCAAGATGGCGGACATCGGAATGTAATATGTGTACTAGGTTAGGGTTAGGCCATAATTTTAGGTATAAATACCACGGGAGGCTCTTGGCTAGTCTTCGAACTGATAATAGGACTAAAATAAGTAAAATTGGAAAAAAATTATCGCCTAACCCTAACCTGTTACCCATGTTACGTTCCGATGTCCGCCATCTTGGTTCGCATACTTAGGGAGCACCGGCATGTCTCTAAGCAAAATAGATGCTACAAATATTATACACTGGAATACTTCCCAGATATGCAATTACCGGTACTAGCAACACTTCAACACTAGACATAAAATAAAATTAACTAAAAAATGAAGTAGTTTGGGACTCGGCTCGTAGTTTGGGAAACGCTATTCTAGATAGAAGAATACTTTTGTGCAAGGCGTCCTGTATTACTGAAACTTTGGGTACAATCATACTGAAAAAAAGTTTCAAGTGTTAAATAAATTTTCTTCATTTTCAATTAAGACATTTTCAGGTCACCCTGTAGTTCAATCAACACCCAATAGCCAATAGGACGCACCCACTTTGCATAGATTGAAGACAATACACTGTGCACATACATACAATGCATAGATATCATAGGGTTGCCATACCGTCCTGAAAATCCCGGACATGTCCGGAATTTAGGGTTAAATTTTGCGTCCGGGAAGAATTTAAAAAATGATCAAATGTCCGGAATTCAGAATTTTACTGCATCTGCAATCGTACTGTGCACACTGCTCATACAGAACATTGTTATTTCGTACCTACGCATATTTTTTACTACGAGGTCATGAAAAAAGTCATGCACTGTCCGGAATTTTGCTTTTTCAAATATGGTGACCCCAAGATATCAAGACACAAGCAAACACATATTGTTTGTTCACAATGTGTTATGTCATGCTTTAACCGAATGAATGATTTCTTTTTGTAACATTGTAGGGGTAGAAATGAGTTTATTATTAAATGTTTTTAAAACTAAAGAAGGAATTCTGACATACCTGACTCAAATATATGGAAAACCATAGCTCTTAGAATATGGCTTAGGGTAGCGGTTCCCAAACTTTTTGTTCATGGAAAAGGAAAATCAGTGTCCGCGTAGCATTTTGATCCCCTCCGACTGCGCAGTGGCCCCCATGAGAAGCCACAGGCCCATAGTTAGGAGCCGCTGCTCTAAATATTGATATCTTACGTGAAGACAAAAAAATCTATAATCATTATGTGACATTTTGGCTTCTTGCTCAGTGACTTGTTATGTGCAAAAATATAATTTTAGACTGTTTTTTGGGGGTTACCCTGTACTTTCCCACTTTAGCTTAAGCCCACCTAACTTGCTACGTCTGAACGTTGCTTTGAGCCAGTAGTTCTCAACCTTTTTTCTCTGTGCCCCACTTTTGTTGCACAAAATATTTTGTGATTATTAACTTACTCATGCAAAGGAAAAACTACAAAAAAACACAAAAAATTTCTTCCCGCAAAAATAAAAACCTCCACTTTAATAGTTAAAATGAAAAATACCACTCAGTGGCTAAAACAGTGTTATCGCTATTTCTAATCAACGTTCCCTCTAAGCTGCGAGGCCGCAAAGCTTGCCGAGAATCCCTGCGCAGTACTTTCGTTCTGCCGCGCACTGCATAAGTATTGACAATTCTTTGATCGTTCAAAATGTTGTGCTCTTTTCTATTTTTTGTAAGTTTCCGCGCAGACCTTTTTTTTGGAGCTCAAACGGCATTCTATTCCGCGCAACTAAGCAAGCTCTTAGAGGGAACGTTGTTCCTAATAAAACCAAATTTAACTAATTTATCAATAATATCCAATTTTGAATAGGCTTGTGGCCCTTCTAAAGATGTTCCTGTGGCCCAGTAGTGGGCCATTGCCAACTTGTTGAAAACTGGTGCAATAAGCAAATTTGTACAAAATATTACAAAAATAACTCACCGTTGAAAAAAGTCCAAAAGTCTCTGGCAAATCTCCCTCAGGTAAGCCTTCAATGGGAAGCAATTCGATCGTGTTGACTATAAGAGATAAAAGTTCGTCATGGAAACCGAACAAAAGTTCTCCGACTGTTTTTGTAAAAAGTAGCTCCGAACCGGCGTCGTTGATCATTTTATTTACGGTTCTTCGCAAAACTCTTGCGGTCGTGTCATTGAGCGGCACTGTTGCTATCCAGTATTCCACAATTGATGGAACAGCCTGAAAATGTAGACAAAAGTGTTTCTTAGCAGTTTAATTTACTCAAGTCGGACTCGAGTACCATTTATCAGAGGTTAGCTAAATAAAATAACTCGTCCTAGAGCTGGATATTTGCAAATACCTGATCGAATCGAATCTCGAATACTTCAATTATAAGTACTCCCGTAGTATGTGTATCAGGTTTGGATTATGCTATAATTTTATTCCGATTTTCCTTATATTAGTTGTATTACGAGTTCGGGGACTGCCTGTGTTAGCGAAGTGAATATATCCCCCTGCCCATAGGTTTCAGTCCCTTTACACAACTTGATTGATGTAAAGTAGGCGAACAAAAACAGCATATTACTAATCGTGGCTGCTTATACAGTGCCTTGTTTAGAGTGAAATGCATGAAATAGCATCATATTAAAATAATGAATCCTGTTCATATCAGTTGTTGCTTGCACAGCACCACATTCGTATACGATAATCATATTTATCACGAGAGAGAGAACAGTCGATAGGACGGCCTAATCATCAGCCAAACCGTGGCCTCGCATGCAGTGACCATTCATGCCTCAGGACTGTACTAGCAGAATCCTAGAGTGCCGCAGAACCCTGGCTGAGAATCCCTGGGATTAAGGATAAAAAATGGGAAATCCTGACTTACAGTTGCAATTATATTTACGGTTGTGACCAAGTCATCTTCACTCCCGCTTGACAATGAAGGTTCAAAGTAGTATTTGGCTGTTGATCGGTATCTTAGCTCTTCTGGTTCTGTGTCCAGAAATTCCATCTGGTCTTTCTTTTGAAATTCTCTGAGAAAGAAGATCATTTCAATTTTGTTAAAATGGAATAGACATTATTACATTGACAATATAATTATTTAGGTCAGTCGAACCATGGATGGATATTGGTTCCGAATCTGTCTGGTTTTAACCATGTTTTGTTTTAGCCATGTCTGGTTTTCACCAAGTTTGGTTTTGGTCATGTCTAGTTTAATGCATCTTCGGTTTTGATCATTTCTGGTATTGAACATGTTTGGTTTTGACCATATCTGGTTTTAACCATGTTCGGTTTGACCATGTATGGTTTTGACCATGTTTGGTTTTGACCTTGTTTGGTTTTAACCATGTTTGGTTTTGACTATGTTTGATTTCGATCATATTCGGGTTTGACCTTGCATGGTTTCAACCATGTCTGGTTTGACCATGTCCGGTTTTAACCATGTCCAGTTTTAACCAGATCGTCTTGACCATGTCTGGTCCTAACCATGACCGACTTTGACTATGGCTGGTTGCGACCATGTTTGGTTCTGACCGTGTCTGGTTTGACCATGTTCGATTATGACCTTGTATGGTTTCGACCATGTCCGGTTTTAACCATGTCCAGTTTTAACCAGACCGGTTTGACCATGCTAACGCTTAGCACAATGCACCAAACGTCGTAAAAACTAATACACTTACTTATACACATAAGGCCCAAGCTCTTGAAAGTGTGGTTTAATGTAAGTACCATTCTCCGCTCCTGCAAGATATTCTTTGGGATTCGTACAATTGAAGACGTACAATTCAAAATACAATGGCGGAGGTGCTGACCATGCTGCATAAGCATCTGTGTTGTTTGCAATAACAGATTCCTGGAATAGTTAAGAAAACATATCGTAAGCTTTGCTAAGTATTAGGTTAATTGACGGTAGATAATAGATATGGGTATATACCAACTCTCTCTTTGTTGAAATATAATCTTTTATAAAAAACGCTGTCCCCGCCTAAGATACACAGAATAGGAGAAAATAGATCTAAAATGACTATTGTGGGTTGTCTCCTCTTAGACAAAATAAAAAACGGATGAGAAAATCGGATACCTAAATATAACAATCCCCTTTCGGCGCAATGCCCTAGCGGTTACAGCATCCTATACTATATAGAACTATATCCAACCACCACCCTCAGACAATTGCCCAACCTGAAAGATTCTGATCTTCCAAAAAAATAGAAGCTCTTGACATATAAGTGTCTGATTGAGACCTCCAGAAGTATGTGCATCAAGATGGCGCACAACCTGAACCCTCTGATTGTAGAGGGTCTTGCTACGAGCGAAAAGCTTCGTTCGCAGAGCACAAACAATTTTGTTTCCTTTATCTCCCGTTTTTAGACTGCTTGTGTAACGAATGTGAAATATAACTATGGATTCAATGTTATTTACCACCTTTGTATTATTAACATGTTTAATTGAATATAAATAGGTTATTTTAGCAAATCTCCCTGGAGGTGATTTATATATCACTATGATGAATATAGTGCCAATCGATCTTGTACTTTTACAACAACGGTGCACAAACTGCGGCCGTCGTGGAAAAATAATGCGGCCGTCCACATACAAAATCCTATGAACAAAAAACAGAAAAAAAGTTCAAACTGGCGTATATTTCAAAATTGTGCAACCATTATGCAACTTGCTGCAATATATCTGCTCAAGAATAGGTCCAGCAAAAAGAAAAATCCGTTTGAAATGCGAATATTATACTTCCAAGTAATCCTACATACTTCATAATTGGGCAGACTGCACTTCGCATGGGTCAAATACGCGGTTATGACGTCATGAAAGACAAAAAAATAATTTTTGCGCGCCTTCGGCGCACTCATCAACTCCCTGGAAGCCGTATTGAATACAAATAAATGCAATGTGGCCGCCAATGGCAAAAAGGTTGTGCACCCTTGCTTTACAATATACATTGTCATTACAAGCTATTGTGTTCGTATTGACCTCTGAAGGAGTCAATTGGGGTGTACTCTTCTAACGTACGTACAGTTATAGTACGGAGGTAACGACAATACGACATACAGTGGGTTGGATCATCTACCCCTACAGTTCTACTGTACTCATCAAAGCAGTAACTTACCCTTTTGACAATATTCTCGTACACGGTGTCGAATATAAACACCAACATTCCTCCCAGAATCACAAGTATCGCTCCAATAATCCCAGCTGTGATTAGACCACATTCCCGGGTGCAGCAACAATTCTTCTGCTTTGATTTTGACATGTTTATTTTTATAAAAATACGGGAATTTAAAAAACTGCTATATTGGAGAAAATTGAAAGTATTTTAATGAAGTTTTAATAATGGTGTTGTTGCTTTCGGCGACACTTCTCGAAAAGTATTAATCTCCTAATCCTTCAAGGATAAAGAAGATATTAAAACCTCGGGTATCGCTAATTAGTAATCAATTTGGATACCCGCGGGCCGCGACTACCCTTTCCCACTGAAATTGTGTGTTTAAATTCTTCTCTCTTTCTTGTATGACATGAGGATTTGGGGGCTTCGACACCTTTTGAAATGTAAGAAAACTTCTTCGGAATATTCAGTTAAAATTCGCTTTTTAGACCATCAAGACTTCTGAAAACTCATCCTTTTCGGACTCTCTGGCTGTTACGGTCTCACGTGTCAATTAGGAATTTAAGAACGCCTCCCCCTCCTTAAAAAAGTCCTGCCTACGGACCTGATTGGGGAGACTCAGAATCTTTCAGTAATAGCATTGCAGACCGTCTAAAACCAAATTATGCTTGTCTACGGCCTTCTCCGGAGTTGAGGTACGCAAATCATAAAAAAATATACAGCTTAAACTGTAATGAAAATCGCGTCATAACTTTACTGTTATGCTGTTAAAAATTAATAAAATTTTCTTGTGCCTGAGATACAGCATTTGCTAACAAAATCGCAAAATCCATTAGAAATACGTATAATCAAACTATGATTGATCGGAGCCTTGTTCGGAGTACATAAATCGTATCACTGTAAAAAAATCTTCACCTTCGTAAGTTTGCATCTGACACTGACATATTGATACGTTTCTTGTAACTGGCATTTATTTGCCATTTGCTCACAAAACCACAACATGGGCGCTACAATCTGCAAACGACCGTTTGATTGCTAGTCCGGTATGTTAGTATTGCATTTAGTACGACGAGGGTGTACCCCCAGCCTGATGCATTGGACGACAAGCGATACTTGAACATATATAGGCCTTAGATTTGAAGGGTATTTTATGTCTGTTCCACGCTTGTTCGGGTATAATTAATATGAGTAATTAAAACAAGCTCGCACGACATGTCCTCACTTTTGTTTGTTGTATCATAAATTATCTTAAAATCTTGATTATGCAAACACAAACGTTACCTCGTGGCAAACATTGTTTGTTCACAAATGACGCGCGATATCTCGGGTTATTCTTGGACATTTATTCGAAACAATATTTATCATGAGCAATAAAAACGGCTGTCATTTTCGAGAGCTTTCGTAACAAAGGATTATAATATGGAGCCCGCCGATTGGTCAACAAGGCGGAATATTAATTTGAAAACTCGGGGGATTTTTCTCGAGTCGAATCATGTGGGTCCGCCACCATCGTATGGCATTATCAATTTTATTTACCGTACTCAGGAAAAAACATTTCTTTATCAAAATTCTTCTAAGTATTCTTTTCGTTTACTTGAGACCTGGATCGAACATGCTTTACTTTTCTGAGAGAGAATTTGCTCAAAGCACTCACTCAGAAGTAAAGGAGAATCATCTCTGAGTAAAGTTACCGGCACTCACTCAGAAGTAAAGAAGACTCATCTCCGAGCAAAATTACTCACTCAGAAGTAAAGAAGACTCAACTATGAGCAAAGTGCAACAATTGTGCAATTGCAACAATTTGATCTCTGATTTTGTACTACATAAACCTAGCCCGTCGAAAAACAAAATAGGTCGCTTATATTTTCTTTAACCCTGTGTGCCTTCTCGTAAATTACTATTGGCTCATTGAAATGCCACGCCCATTTCCCGATTCGTCTACCTTTCTATGACGTAAACACTCTTTGGTTATCGTTAAACAAACCCAAAGTAGAACGTAACTATACTCATTTATAAAATACACGATAAAATGCATTCAAAAACAAGCGTTAAGTTAACTGTGATATCGAGTTATTGTACAAAATTCAAGAGTCTTGCAAAGAATCCTGACCCCAAAGAATCCTGACAGTTTATTTCTGTAACGTTTCATCTGACTGAGATATCTGATATGCGACCGTGATCCCGCGCTGTGTAAATTAATAAATTAAGAATTATGTATTGAAGTCAAGTAAGTAGAAAGTAAACAAGGAGAAATAACCTGTAGTTCTATGTAAAACACCCCAGAAACTTGTGTACAAATAAGCAAAATATATGTAAATTGCATATATGAATATATATGGATATTTGTCCCATAATGGTAGGATATATAGGTTCTTTTGCACAAAGGCTCTACTATTGCAAAATCTCAGATTTGAGAAAAACATCCCGACACGTTTTAGAATGAGAAAATGATCCCGTTGGGGTTAAGATTGATTTGAAAATATGAATTTCCAGCGCAGTTTGCATTCCTAGCTCTAACTGGCTATTTAGTGATTACTTATCGATTTTAATCGGTAAGTATGTTGATAGGTATTTGTCTGTCTGTCTGTCTGTCTGTTAGATGCGCGCAATATCTCACGAAAGCGAGATTGAATCTGCTCCAGATTTTGCATGTCCGTTTATCATATCTCGGACCAGAAGCCTATTGATTTTGGGCGAATTATGTCGTATAATTAGCGAGTTATCAATTAAATAGTGATGGGACACAAGGTGTCACTATGGAGTAAGAGCGCTGTTTTGGGATCCCCTAACTTTCGATCGATAAGTCTTCGGTCTCTGACCGATATTCTCGTTTAGTAATTTCCTCATTCTGAGCGTTTACGGTTTTTTTTTTTTTATCTTTGAACAAAAGACTCGATATATTTATATATACATATATATGAGGTGGCAATCTAGTCCAGGGCGGTCGAAGATTGGCTGCTCCGCGTGCCACAAAATTACTTTGGCATTGTTCGCGGGCCACAATAGTGCCAAGAACTTCGCTCGTTTAACTTTGCTAGTTGCTTCAGCAAGCCATAACACTAGTCAATTCAGTGACATTAGACACATGTGGCCCGCCGTTTTATTATTTGTGGCCCGCGTCGCATTTACGCGAGGGTAAACAAAAAATCGCTTTTGGTGTTGTTTTGTCGTAAAAAATAACCAGAAAAATCTTTTGACATCTTGTTACATCACTAATGTCACTGAATTGACTAGTGTTATTAGTTATTGTGTAAACATGAGTTTGTAAAGAAAGCTGACCCATTTAAACAGATTTTTCACTGAATATTGGAGGGAATATACCATAATACTTGCTTAATATGCTAAGTTGTGTCTGTGTTTTTTTGTGTGGTTTTTGCATATTTTAACTTGGTAAAGGACGAATAATGATCAATGTGTTTTGACAATATAAGTGTTTGTTTTGTATTGCACTGTTTACCTATTCTTGGTACTATTATGGCCCGCGAACAATACAAAAATAATAGTGTGGCCCGCGAGGCCGACAACCTTGGACCACCCTAAGCCAGCTGTTACGGTTTAACTTGGCAACTATTTTCAGACCCCTCCCCTTTTGAAATTCCCTGGCTACGTCCCTCATTCACGTCGATAACTCGGACCTGCCTTACACTTTGTTCAAAGCGTCACATGAAAAAACTATCATTAGTTTCTTATACAAAGCTTCTTATACAAAGATTGTTCCGAGTGAACATCTCATCATGCATTATACATAGCAATTTTTGCAGCTTGAAACACTTCTTAGATCCCCAACCCGTGAATTTGCCTGATTCAATTTAATGACTGGGTACAAAGCCTTGTTCCGAGACAACATTCCATACCCGTCGCACGATTAAGTTTTCCAATAAAATCCGACAGTCATTCAGATTTACGACGACTTCCCGTAATGACTATTGTTTCAGTAGTTAAATTGCTTTTACGACGTCACAATGAGGAATTACAGAACATTGCAAATATCGCCTGACAGGTGGTTGTAAATATTCAAATTACGGTCCTCTCGAAGTATGTGAACCAATATGGCGGACACCGGAACTTAGTATATGTTACTACTACCAGGTTAGGGTTAGGCCATAATTTAATGTACAAATACTACGGGAGTCGCTCGGCTAGTCCCCGAACTCGTAATAGAACTGAAATGAGGAAAATTGGAATAAAATAATGGCCTAATCCTAACCTGGTACACATACTACGTTCCGGTTACGGCTATATTGGTACCCACACTCGGAGAGAATTTGCTCATGAATAGGACATGATAAGGTTTACATAAGACTGCTTAATCATATGGCGAACCACTGCATGCCGTCTGTTTTCCAGTCCATGTCGGGTATGGGATTACTTAGTTCAGGGTGGTCCAAACCCAGGCCCGCGGGCCACATTAGGCTTCATTATCTATGGCCCGCGTTGCCATTGCGGGAGGGTAAACAAAAAATCGAACAAAACAAAATTTAAATTTGAGTTGGGTTGCGCGAGACTAACTTTCTATCTTTTCTCTATGCCTTTATGCTAGTGGATCCGTATGTTTTTTGAAATCAGCCCAAACGGTGTTACAAAAATGTTGCCTAAATGTCAGAAAATTTACTAATTACCCTGTATCTCAAATTTGGTAAAGTTCGGTATTCAATCAATCTGCAGTTATTTATAAGTTACACTCTTGTGGCCCGCGAACACATCAAAAATAATAGGGTGGCCCGCGAGGCCATCAACCTTGGACCACCCTGACTTATTTATTTGTTTTTGGAAGCATGGACTTGATGGTGGAGCAAGCCGCGCCGATAACGAACTTGCTAAAGCCGGCGATCTCTCTCCTATAGTGATCGTTGTGACGAGAAAACGAGAGAAATTGCTTGCTCGATTTCGGGTGATCGTCTGCGCGTTTTGGACGACCCTCCGCATACTTAGGTGGGTCTTATTACGCCACTGTGACGTCGAAATGACGTAATTTTTGGTGACGTAGTCAGGTGGGGATTAGGATTGACATATGCAAAAATTGTTGAGCCAGGTCAACTAGAAGTACATGTTGTACTAAACTATACCAGACCCCATAACTATCCCCGCATAGGATTCGAACCTGCGAACCCACTCAATGTAATCAGAGGTGCAGTAGCGAGAGTATTCTTAACGCTTAGCATGATGCGCCACATCGCTGAGCTAGTGACGGTGATGTAAGTCACGATCATTAACTCAGAAGTAACGGAGACTCATTTTGGGCGATAAATAAAATTTCGATATAACTATCATAAACTTATTACATAACATTGATTCATTAAACATGTCATAAGACGGAATATGAAATCATAGTTTAAAGTGAGCTACACTGTGCAATATAGAAATCGTCTATCTTCGTGGTTCACAAACTTTTTCGGCTTTCGGCGCACTGACGGAAAAATTAAAAAATTAACTTCTTCAAGTCTGATGTTTGAACAATTCATGCTCAAATGAAAACACCCTGTGAAATAACCTCACCAAGAAATGAAACTAGGATCTAGGAAGAACTGAGAGTTTTCTTGTGAAAAAAAAAGCAAAATCAGTTTTGCGCCTAGCATTGTGGCCCACCTCCAACTCATCTGTTGCCCTCACGGGCCTCCGGTTGAAATTAGTCTATCCCGCTAATTTTTGCTTGTTTCAGTAAATCAAATCCTTTCAGTACTTTTAATGAGGTGCCAATTGAAACTACCTACAAATAACTGTTATATTTACTTCTTTGTCGACAGTGTTATTTTTTGTTTATGACTAATTCGTAATTGCCTTGGGGCAACGAGATAATATTACGAAATCGGCGGAATTAATATTCAGTATATCGAACTGGGATGAGATTAGGCCCAAAATTTGACCTTGTTAAGCAAAATACGAAGTTTAAGATTGGTTTTATGTAAACGAAGGCAAGGTAGGCTGAAACAGGGGCGCTCCAGAAGTATGTGTACCAATATAGAGGTAACTAATTTTGTTCGCCTACTTTACATCAAGTTGTGTAAAGCGACCGAAGGCTATGGGCTGGGGGTATATTTACTTGGCTAACACAAACAGTTCCCGAACTCGTATTGGAACTAAAATAAGAAAAATCGGAATGAAATTAGGGTTCTACTCTAACCTGGTACACATACTACGGGAGTACCGAAAAATTAGCAATGTCCGGTGAAAACTGAATTTCACATAAGCAAATACTATAGGGCATAGGCCATAGACTCATAGAGTGTCAATAAAGTCTCAATTTTTTTTTTAATTTATCGATATTTATCGATGTCACATATTGTCTTGGCCCTCACAGATGTATTAAGTGAAATAAAAATACTTGAACAATTACTGATTAAAAACAACAAACCTAGTTAAGATATATTGAAAACTGACTTCATAACAAAATTGAAATTGTAAAGGGGCTCTCTGGACACCCTATTTATTCCGGGGCAGAAAGGTCATACCCAGAGTCACCACCGCTCCGTCTTTAGCCACTCGTTCTTCAGGATGGTAAACAGACTAGTCCCGTTACAGCGACAGTGTACAATGATGGATCATTCCAGATAAAAATGAATGGAAAATAAATCTGTCAGCTTAAATGAAAGTTTGTGATAGGATTAGAATTTTCTTGCACATGAATATTCCCCACAAGATTTAAACCTGTAATTTTCTTGGGGCGGTAATGAGTGGTGAGAGGAGGGGTCTGTTTCAAAAACAGCGTCACTAGCCATTTTCAAATGTGTAAGTTATATATTTTCATACATGACTCCTTTAAAGGCATTTTTCAGATTTAGATAAATATGACGACACTTATCAGCAAAATCGCATTCATCCTATTTATTATAAAATCGTCACTAGGTGACGTTTTGGAGTGTGAACAAATATGTAGTGGAATTACGAAATCCATTCCTAAGCCATTGAGAGGGAGGCCGGGACCTCCTGGATCAACGGACTATAAAGCTATTGATGAGGCTGTGGAAGTAAAAATGAAGGAGTGTAAGTCATTGGTTCCCAACTATTTTTATTAATTTTTTTTTTGCCTATTTTGAAACTCTTCATTTTTCTCTCCCTTTGCATAAAACTGCTTTGTTTGTTGAATTTTTAATGCACTCGTTGCCAGTGAGAGCTACTTTATTACTTATCGATATCTTAACATATCTTAACATAAATAAAAATGTATTTGAATATTCAAAAAGTGGCTCATATTCCAGTGAAGATGATCAGTCGAATATATATTACATTTTTTTATAAGTTACAAAAGTTCGATCACTAATAACAAAATATTTACCACTTCCTAAAATAACACGCCTCCCTGAAAAAATTGTCCACGTCTCGCCCCCTATTGTGGGGCTCTCCTCACTGTTTGAGAACCATGGACTCTAACAGCAATTAAACTTTCACACAACTGGAATTTAAATTTTAGTGACAAAGTCCCTGGATCTGAAGATGATAGAAATGCAGAAAAAATTTGAAGAAAAATTGGAAATGACTGTTCAAAGTCTGAAAAATGAAATTTCAAGCACGAAAGAAGGTATGGGCCATGTATTCATACTGTATATGGGACGGCAATACGACGGCGGCCGAGTACCTATGTAATTTACAAGCATGTTTCTGACTATCCAGCCCGTTGAGTAATTCAATATGGTCCGCCTGAAGCTGCCACAACCGGACATAAAACAAATTTTGATGTTTTAGCTCAGAGGTGGCCAACAAGTCGATCGCGATCGACCAGTCGATCGCCACGTTTCGAGTAGTCGATCGCGTCTGATGTTGAGTGAATTTAATAACATACCCCAAAAAATTGCCTTGCACCGGTTTAATACAGCGCCTGTTGTGTGTTTTAAACAGGAAGAATATAGTACTGTACATGCGCAAAATACGATATACACATGCAGTAATTTGGTATGGACAAGCCCGATAGAGCATATCATTGCGTTATAAATGCAAGTTTCGCTGCTGCCAAGTTTTAGAAATGAACTTGCAGAATATCGTGTGTCTTGACTGGCAAACGATCCTACAATAATTTCTGCACTATGCGAAAGTTATTGTCTCACTCCAAGAGTATGTGTGATAAATTTTATTCGCAACGGTAGCAGTGGCATCAGAATGCCCAATTTTTTTCTAATTCTAAGCAAGAAAAAAAGTGGATTTGAAGAAAATTGTAAATTAGATACTGAAGTTTGAGCAGTCATGTGATAATAATACATGGATATTTTTCAAGGTTTTTTTGAGGAATTGAAAATTCTTACGACTAAAAATTAGACAGGCCCTATATCTGAATTGTATGATTTGAATAAATTTAAAATAAATAATGAAACATTTACTCCGGGTACAAATATATATTCAAATTAACGAATTGATGGAATATATAAAATGCAAATTTTTGGGGCAATTTCATTGAGAATGCACCCGCAGAACCAAGCTTATTATTACCGAGCAGCGGTGGAATTTTTGTATGCGTGTGTGCGGTTATCTGCGTGTATTCATTCATTTTTGTTTATGACCTTATTACCGATTAGTCGATCGCGAAGTATTTTGAGGATTTTAGTCGATCGCGAACGAAAGCAAGTTGGCCACCCTGTTTTAGCTAAACAATAGCTTAAGGAATTTGTTGAGATTGCGATTATTTTTTTTACGTCATACTTACATGGCCAGCCAGTCTAGGTGGGCAAATTTTCTGGCCCCTGGTCCAAAAATCTTGCTAACCTCTAATATAAAGGGGGAAGTTACGGCACTGACAAACAGATAACTCTTTGGTATACGTAAGCAAATGTAAAGACTATGAGGTTTTAGTAATTCAAGATATTTCAGTGTTTTACGCGGCTTTGCTTAGAGCTCACTCTCCCTTACTTCCTGCACTATATACCCGAATTAGCTCTTTGCATTGCGGTAGTAACCCGAAACTTAGAGATGAGTCTCCATTACCTTGATTTGAGTAACTTGTGTACTAATTTTTCAGCTCTGTGCCACGTTCGATACAACGAGAAATGCTTTTGGATCGTCGCCCAAACAGGCACGAATTTTAAGGTCGGTGAGGAGACCTGTGCAAAAGTTCCCGGGGGAAAACCCGCAAATATTTACGACCAAAAGCATTATGATTCAATAATTAAACACATGAGGTCTCAAATATCTCCTGATGTATTTGGGTTGTATCTCTGGATCGGGATGACCTATGACTTTCAGGTAGATGTCGCTTTTTCTTTTAAGCAAGAGTTGCCATACCAATCGTCTGATAAGGACTTGGCCTCTGACCATCGCCTTTTTCGCCACTGATAATTAAATATATTTCATTTCGTCATGTAAATGCGATGACTAAAAAAAAATTATGTGGATACATAAATATGTGTGGAACAGGAACCTATAAGAAACAATGATTTCCAATTCCATAATACAAAACCAAGCCCGTGAAACTGAAACGAATAACCGATTAACTGTACCCATAGCCGACATGGACTGGTATCAGGGTGTCGTACGCCATATGAATAAGCTGTCTTATCGGTCTTATTTTCCTCGGGATAAATATGAAGATCCTATCTTTTCCTATTATGCCCAAAATAGCGCTGTCCACGAATATTTTTTTGTGTTACTGTTGCCCATGTATGCCAACTAGCGGTAAAAAAAACTTACACTATTTACTTCAACAAAAAAGCATTTCTAAATATACTATTCCTTTGCTGTCAAAATACTTACCTATTTGTTCAGAGCAAAAATGTTAAATTGAACGACGGCAAGACATCAACATTCGTCAAATGGAGAGAGCATTACCCAGGAATGACTCATGAATATACAGGGCTCCTCATAATGGCAAGAAGAGACGCGGCAGGAAAATTTGAAGGAATTTATAATCAGAATCCGAAGTACAAAAAGCCTGGAGTTTTATGCGAAGCTTGAATTTTAAATATATTAAATATGAGTTTAATATTTATGCGCCATATTTTATGAACTACTTGATATGTGGCAATAATATGGCTACTTAAGTCATAGGTATAGCCAGAGGAGGCCAAAGTTTTCAACATTTATTTTTTGTGATACAATTTTGCGGCATTTGCAGTGAGACATGAATTTTGACGCTTTTTTCAACACCCTTTTACTCTATTCGTGAGCGATTTACTGAAAACTGATTTTTCTGGCTTGCTATCAATAATCCTTTCACCAAATGAACTAACCGAGATAGATGAGAATGTGCGCGGAGGCGAAGTAGGTCTGTAGATCAGGGTGGTCCAAACCCAGGCACGCGGGCCACATGTGGCCCGACGCTCCAGTATCTGTGGCCCGCGCCGCATTCGGAGAGTAATCAAAACATCATATTTTAAATTGCTTCTCATAAAATAAATCAGAAAAATTGTTTGACATCTCGTTGTTATATCACTACTGTGACTGAATTGACTAGTATGATGGCTAGCTGAAGCAACTAGCGAAGTTGAAGATGTGATGGGCAGTCAAAATTGTTACCTGGATTTCTATCGTTTTGGTCGGGAATATATGCTAACAATATAGGCATGATAGAAATCTAAACATCGGATGCGGATTCCATTAGCCCAGGTTGGCAATGCCTGATAACTATGTGTTCACACACTAGAAGTGCTTGTTTTGTATTGCACTGTTTACCTATTCTTGGTACTATTGTGGCCCGCGACCAATGTCGAAATAATTTTGTGGCCCGCGGAGCCCACAACCTTGGACCACCCTGCTGTAGATTATATAGATTCCTTAAGATATTGTTAGATATTAGATATCAATGGCTGCTTTTATCTACCTTTGTTTAGAGCAAAAGGCACGAGTAAGCGATGTATTACGACATAAAACAAAAATGGCGCTTCCGCAGTATTCGTACCAAGATGGCGCACAACCTGCTAACCCTGATCGGCCACACATACTATGTTCAGGTTGTGCGCCATCTTGGTACGAATAATACGGGAGCGGTGACCGTACATTTGAACCCGTGTGTATATCCGCGGGTTCAATCTATATGCGGGTGCTAAAACCTACGGGTTAGGTTAGTATGGATTCAAATATCCGCAAAACAAAAAAAAAATTAGGTGCAATAGTATGCAGGTGCAATTGTCGTGGGTTCAAATGCACGAGAACCTACGGGAGCACCCAATAAATTGCCCAATTCATCAAATTTTGGACTGGCTACGCTCTTGCTAAGATGACTACTGTTTGTTTATTTCAACATTTGGGGTAACTATTTTTCTTGCTCTTTGCTTTTGCGCGAGTAGTTTCTGTACGTTGCAGAAATACATTTTTGTTAGTGTTTATTTTTTATTGGGTTATTTTTTTCGACGCTTCAGAAGTATGTGTACCAATATGAAGGTAACTAATTTTGTTTGCCTACTTCACATCAAGTTGTCTAAAAAGACTGAAACCTATGGACAGGGGGTATATTCACTTGGCTAATCCAGACAGTATCCGAACTCGTAAAATAGGTATAAAATTATGGCCTAACCCTAACCTGGTACACACACTACGGGAGTACCCAAAATGAGTCTCGAAAGATGCAATAGACTGGGCTATAATTACCTATCATCACTTTTAATGGAATGTGAATGTGGTTGAATATTTTAAATCGAAATGATGGTTATATCACGTAGATGTCAATTTTTGAAACCTTAGTAGAGTATAGGTAGGCTTACCATACGTCCCGTTTTAGGCGGGACATGTAGGTCAGTGAAAAGTCCCGATTTGGCGTTCAGCCAGTCAGTCAAAAGGGTGCTTAACGTTGACGTAAATTCCTTTCTATTTTTTAAACTGAAACCGATATTTAGACGAACAGCGCCTGAACTCTCGATGACAATATGGTCAATGAAGACAGCGGTATGGTATTAAATGTAGGCCCTTAATGTAAAATCGGTAAATTCAAAGTTGGAAAAATCACAGCTATGGTCTTTGGGAGCATCCCGCTTTGAGGTCACAAAAATATGGTAACTCTAATTATATAGGAAGAATTTCACTTCGGCCCTTCCTCAGTAAAATTGTATGATTATCTCTCTTTTTCTGAATGTTGTATGCGATTGTTTTTGCTGGTTGGAAAAAATAAACTTGACTTGACTTGACAAAGGTCGGGAAACTTCCATTATCAGAAGCTTCTAATTTCATATGGAATTATGATGGTACGTTACGATACAATAATTGCCTATTGGCGCAAAGCGCGGAGCAGTTCATGTCAGCGTGATGCTGGTTATGAAATTCACTTCTTCAACTAACGGTAAGGGATGAGCCTACGGCATATGAAATATGTGACATGCCGATTGCCAAGTACACTTTCTTAGTTTCCGGGCTACGCAAAGCCTTCTTGGTGCGCCAACACGCGTGCACCTGGTTTGCTGTCGCTCAGCTGATTCGCAAGTTCAAATTATGTCGGTGAAGATAATGTCTGAGGGTATTGCTGGACCTTGCACTGCCGTACATCATTTTTGCGTCAAAATTTTGAACAACTCCGGCTGTTGCTTTCGAGAGAAAGTTTATTTCTAGTTAGTTCGAATATTAATTTGTGATTAAATTGCAGAAATATATGTGCGGTTAATGTATTTTAATTGTTTAAGTTACGTTACTGCTGACGCTGGTGAAAATTTGCTTTTTATTCGATATTTTAAATCCGATGTTCGAAATAAACTTACAGGGAGTCCTCGACTTACGACGTTGTTCCGTTCTTGAGAAGCGGTGTAACCCGAATTTCAGTGTAAGTCGGAACATTATACTGTACAGTACATAAATTACACTTTACATATCGTACTGTATTGTAAAGTATGGTACAGTAATAAAATGTACAAATAATGCAAAAAGTACGATGTAAATGAGGAAAACCAATGAGCCCAAAGAACTGATTTTCTTGATCACATTTATCCAGTTTAAGGGCTTAGATATTACAGTACATAATTATATTTTATATTTTTTTTGGAGTGCGTTCGTAACCCCGAAACAGCGTAAGTCGCGACCGTCGTAACTCGAGGACTCCCTGTATACTTACAATGATGTAATAAATCACGTGATATGAATTTACTACATTATGTATCTTGTTAGCGTGAGAATGTAAACAAGCCAACAGCAGTCATGCGTGACAATATTAACCAATCAGAATTCATTACGACCTGAAAAAGGAGGCGTTGTTTCATGGAAATTTCCCAGCTCAATACGTGGAATCTTAGCCCTCTCGTTTTACTTCGCAACCTCTTTCCGAATCACTAACAGTTTATATTATTTATAATTTTGTTCATAGCTGTCTCAGAATATCTAGCGTACGTCATTTTAAGGTGATGTCGATTTCGAAATCGTGTTTCGAGCCACGTCAACTGAGCGAAAAAATCTCTCTCGCGTCTTGTGAAATTTCTTCTGTCGATTGTGAATTTCCATTCAGAACGCTTTTTGCAACAAGTTGCTATTTAGTAAGCGCTTGTTAGTTAGTTTTTTTTATACTTTAACCATGTATGTTATAGTTGAAATTCCCGTTTAACGTTGATTTAACGACTCGCCAGCCTTGTCAAATAACGCGCGTCGAATTAGATTTCGAAACCGGTGCCGCCGGGCATTTAACGTTTAAAAAGCGGCCGATCTTGCTGAGCATGCGGAGTTGTGTGTTGGACCAGTGACTGAGCGGAAGATTTTGTGTGTCGTCGTCGTGGTGGATTATAGGTAGCATACCGGTACCGGTATGTCTTGATGTTGAGGTCTTTTATAGAAAACTGCCAGTCAGTTCATTAACAGAGCCATCTTATAAAAGAAAATAATACCGGTACAGCGTCTACACTACAGTACGGTATCTACTGATCTAGAAAATTTGTTACAAAGTTAAGTGATAACTTTTATGAATTTGTAGGCTGTAAGGTGACTTTATAAACGCTCTGTACACATTCAAAAATTTTTATTAGAGGGACTTCAAAAATTTATTTCAGATTGAAAAAGATTTACTTGTACCGGTACCCCAGATCAGGTACTGAAATTCACTATTTCAGAGTCATGATTCGTATCCTTGCTGCCTTGTGATGTAGATTACAGCACTGTAGCATATGGTTTTGCAAGATCTTTACAGCTATATGTATCTATGTATGTTTATTCGTCTCGTAAAAGAAATATAAAAGAGTTAGTAATTATCGACATTGAAGAAGGGATGTAGCTATACACAAGACCATACTGACCTAAAACACATTAAAGTGTGGCATACACCCCTGTACAGAAACTAGAATTAATCCAATCATGATTCATATCTAGACTAGTCTACAGAAATTCTCTTTTTCCTGTTTTCAGAGTCATTGTTTTTTGTCGCTGTGGTGAAGGTCCAGTCTGGATTTCATGGCCTTTTTGAACGAGAAATCAGCCGTGCAATCAGAAATTCCCGCGTGCAAACTGCAAATAAAAATTCCTTGCGTGCAATTATAGCTCACGGCGTGCAAAACAACTGCGCCCACGTGCAACTGACTTTGACATTAGATTCCTCCCAATACATCCGCCTAAAATTGCCGGTATTGGATAAAAAAAATACGTTGAATCAGAGCAAAAATGGACGTTTGACAATTGACATTATTAAACATTATTTCTACAGTTTGTCGCAAAGTTTGAGAGTGTTTGCGCGACTTTAAATACTGGTACTGTTCAGTGCATCCGTGTAAAATTATTGTATAAAAAATACGCTGAATCGGAGCTATAACTGGCCAGCGTCGGTGAGGAGGAGATCTTTTCGCCCATAACTTTTCTCACAGGATTCCTATCATTCAACACGATATGTTCTTTTTTTGCTTCGCATTTTTCGATCAGGCCAAACTGTGCAAGCTAGTATTAGTTGACAATTGTGGAGTTATAATTTGTTGGCATCTTTATATTACTGGATTATTGATTTAAAAACCATTTAAACCGATTTTCATTCGCTCGCGTGCATTTTTGCGGAGCGCTAGCGCGCTCGGGCGTGCACCCGCCATGGAATCCAGTCTGGGTGTAGTTTATAGCTTATGGTTGTGCCAGATCTATAGCCTACCGTAACTAGTATTACCGTACAGTACTGCAGTATTTAAGTCAATTAATAGGGCCATCTTATAAAGCAAGCCAGTGACAGAACTTGGAATTTCCAAATTTGAGATTCTGTAGATTTAGGCTATTTCTCAATTTCTTTTTTCATTCAAGCGGAAAGCAATAAATTATTTTTCCTATCCTGTTTAGTCCTATCCTAAACCAGGTTATTGACATACTTGATATATGGCTGTATGTCTTGTTGAAAAGTTATCTCTGTATCTGGACATAACAGACATAGTCTACCGTTATGGAACACTTATCCTAGTCTAAGTAATAGTCGAATAGTCAATATTGATATGCAATTTTTCTGTTTTTTTAGACAAAATTTTAGTCTTTTATTAAATTTTATAAGTTCATTGTCGGACTTACAGTTTTTCTGCTTCTTGAAGATAAATTTATATAAAGTTTAAAGATGTGTGGTAAGTTATGAATTGTTTTTATTCTTTAATTTTTTGTTATTGCTCTCAACCATTTTTATTCTGTGAGGGGGAAATTATATTTTTGGATTTTTCTCAGCCAAATATAAATGAAAAATAAAAACGTGGAAAAAATTGGGCTCTGAGACAGTGTTACCTCGGTAGTCTATCAAAAAATTCTAGTCAAAAATGCTGCGGTACCCATGTTAACACGCATACACATAGAAGTGAAGTTGACTGATTTCTGGGTTAAGGTCTGTTGAGTGCTACTGAAAAAAATTAAATTATGGTGCTTCACTGTCTATGTGCCAGGTAAAATGTGAGGTGTAGCAGTGAAGTCGTTACATTCAGGAAAACACCTATGAATCATAGAATCCCACGGATCTTTTGTTTAAAGCCATTAATGCATAAATTTGAGATTTGAGAAAACACCATCGCCATGTTAAAACAAGAGAGCTATGCTCAAATATATGGACATGTAGCGCCACCTAATGGCAATAATTTTGATGACGTCATAGCAAAATTTATTTTTTCTTATCTTTAACCACTGAAAATTTCAAAGCAATTGGTCCAGTAATCAACGAGAAAAGCAACTTTTTAAAAACGTGTCAAAGAACAAGAACAACAACATAATATTGAAACGATTGCTATGTTCACTACGTGTCCAATAAGAAATTAGTTATCATCCAGTTCGGGTTAGGACTAGGGTTAGGAATGATTTGAAAGTTTGAATTTCCATCACAATCTGCATTTCTAACCCAAACCCTAACTCCAACTGGATAATTACTAATTTTCTTATATTGAGCATTGGCGGGTGCTTTGTGCAAAAGATCCAATTCCACATGCCAGTATTTATCCAGAATTCACACTAACATGCGAACTGGCATATATGTGTTAAGCGTTTTCACAAACCCATAGTATGATATTTTCCAATGCTCTATTTATCCTAATAAATTAATCAAACAATTTCATTTGATGATATATTATTTGTTCCAATTTTATCAAACTCGTTGCAAAATTTGTTTTTGTATATCGTATAAGAGTTTCTTATGGGAACAATTATTTATAAAACCATAGTTTTTTCCATTTGTCTGAAAATCTCTAAATTTAGTTTGTTTTGAGTATTCAAAGCACGTTTCTAAATTTAGCTAGTGCTCGGGGTCTGAATCACTCAAAAAATATAATTTTAGATTCTTGTTATATCCCATGGGTGTGGGTAGGTTTGGTCCAGTTTTATTGCCATAAAAAAGCAATGAACTGTAACAGGCATCTTTTGTGCCATTAGATTTGAATGGGTGAATTCTGCCAGTGTATATATTAATAATCACATGAGGAGATGCTGCACTAAACCTAACAGGATCTGGTTAAATGAGTCCTCATATAGACAGGAAATAACATGATATACACGGAAATGAAACATAAGACTAACAGATAAAGACCAAACTCGTATTCCGGATACATTCTAAATCTGTGGTTTTCAGAATTAAAAAAAATTCTGTATATCTCAATTTAAAAAAATAAATAGTATATTTCAAATGTGATTAATTGGCTATATTCACAACAAGGCTTCATGGTCTGGTTGCATTAATCAAAATTGAATGAATTTAAATCCCGTTTAACTCAATCTTAAAATTATTTAACCCATTTTAAAGACAGTTCCTTGAGCTATATTCACAGTCAGAATTCATGGTCTGGCGCACGTAACCTGAAATTATTTCTTATCAATTCTATGTACTGGGGACAAACATCCTACTTGAGATTCGTTGAGTTACGTCATTCTTTATTTGTTTAAGATAATAATCCACATCCTGTTCCAGGAATAATGAAAGTAGTGTTGTCGCTATAAATATTGTTTTTATACCAATTTTACCGCTCTGAACAAGGTTGTGCATAAGCAGCCACTAATATGCAAGAAGCTATTGTTTTTATTTGCTAGTATTTGGGTAATGTGGTAGGATTTACCTAATTATCCCGGGGAGAGGAAAGCTGATAAGATTGCTTAATCCTATGGCGAACCACGTCATGTCGTCTGCTTCCCAGTCCATGTTATGCATGGGATTGGTTAGCCAGTTATTCGTTTCAGATGCATGCAAAAGATTTTAAAAACCAAAATTTTTCAATCCGGAGTTGGGAGTGCAAACCTTTTTTCAACTGTCGGCAGGTTGTCTGTATTTAAATTTTTATCAACTGGATTCGAGTGGGATTAAGTTTCCCCATTTTTTACAGCCCCTCAATTATTGTTTTACTCTTCTGTATCCCTTATTCTTCATGGAGTGCTTCTATTTGCTTTCAGGTATTTTTGCTTACGTTAACCATTGCACCCCTCGCCCAAGAAAACATATCCTACAGACATTGGTCAATGGATTGAAAAGATTGGAATACAGAGGATATGATTCTGCAGGTATGTGTTATAGAATCTCATTTATTTTCTGTGTGAATGGGAGTATGGGGAGATGTGGGCCGGAATCAAAGCTTCTACAACTGGTTGTAATGTTAAATTTATTTCTTATTTTGCCATTTTCCTCAATTTGGGTGGGAAATGTCATCGAACTTTGTGGAGGGTGAAACTGTAAAAACGCCTCAGTTCAATATACTACCATACATCCAACTTGTGGACTTGTGCATGGGAGTACCTTGGGGGGGGGGGGGGAAGTACCCATTTGCGGTTCGGAAACCCCTACTTTTGAAATGTAGAGAAAAGCATTTTTCTGTATCATACATACCAATTTGTTGTAGCCTTAAAATGCTTTTTAGACGCTCAAGACTCTCGGACTCCCCACTTTTTCGGCCTTATGGACCACTTGCTTTTACATTCTAAGTTCTATTTTAGGAAATTTCAGAACCCATTCCCCCCTTCGAACCCCCTTTGTTATGTCTATGCCTTTCCAAAGGCTTGTTGAGAGGGGAAGATGGAAATATGTGTCATAGCGAAAATGACGGCGGCAGGATTAGCATTCAATGTATATATATATCGTTATCAGCGGTGGGGTTCAATTTTTTTGTCAGCCGGTTCCATCACATATTTTTCAGCCGGTTTTGTTAAAAAAAATCTTGTTTTTTCAGTAATGCTAACCGGTTCGCTGATCTCATAAAATTCCGTGAGACGGTTCTATAGAACCGGTGCGAATCAGCTGAATCCCACCACTGATCGTTAACTTGTGGACGTGGTAATGGATGCCATTCTGGTAAAAAAATTTTTATTCCATCCAGGTCTTGCCGTAGATGGTGGGAGTAATGCGACCCCGACTATTGACACAAAGAATAATAACAATCCCTCAGCGCATATTGTTATGATCAAGCAGAAAGGAAAAGTGAAAAACCTTGATGAGAAGATTTACAGTGAGTTGATTTTCAAGTTTTTTTTTTATCGAATATTTGTCATCCTAAAATTTAATAGTTATGGTATTCCTCTACTAGACTCAATATATTATCACAGTTTAAGAATGTGTATATTCGTAACATTTCAATTATATTGGTATGTTAATTACCTTGTATCGGTATCGGCAACTTGCGGCGCTCTCTTCTCTCTGCCCGCGAATATCCTTCAACTTCTGTATATCTATCCCTTTCTAAATTTGGCCCTCAGTAAATCAACTTTGGATACCTCTGGACTAAATGCATAAATGTTAATAAATTGATACAATTATATTTATAGAGAGTCCAGGATGTAGAATTATTCACAAACAATAAATTGCATTGAATGCAATATCAAATAATATACCGGTATTCTAAATTGAGTTGTATTTAGAAAAGAAAAATACACAAATAATTAATTATTTATGAGTAACGGAGATGACCAATTTAGGATAATTTACATTCTTAAAATACAATTTGAAATGATATTTCCAAATTTCGATGTACTCTGAATTTAGCTGTATTATAGAAATGGAATCATCTTTGTCACAAGGTTGCTTGAATAAAACAAAGTTTCAATTAATCACATTATTTCTAGAAAATCAAGAACTAGATTTTGAAGTTGAGTTTGGAACTCACGTTGGTATTGCTCACACACGTTGGGCAACTCATGGTGTTCCCAATGCTGTCAACAGTACCCTCAGAGATCTGACAAGGATAACGGTAAGTTGATTTAAAATTTTAACTGATCGTTCATCTATTGTTAGCTGTATTTCTGGCAACTAGCATTTTCCCAGATGGTTGAGCATGACCTTTGATGTCATCAGTTTCAGGTGACTGATCATGACCAACCACCTGTGAAGGTGATTCGGCCATGTGCAGGGAGTAGTCTGGAGCACAGCTCAGTTGGTGGTGTTTATGTCTGTATGTGTTACTTTGGTTATTGCTTTGGACATTTATTCGCTGTATAATTAAGACATTTATTAAATATACTTTGGAGTCGCTTTAACATCTATAACAGTGCTTGCCGACCTTTTTTCAATCCATAACCCACATTTTTTCCCTTTTCTCATTTCGCGGTCCACTTTTATTGCTATTTTTTTTGTGCAAACCACAACCTTTTTAAGTTCCGGACCCACTTTTTTTTGCCATTTCTGAGTTTGTGGCCCACTTTTATTGCTATTTCTCAGCTCGCAGCCCATTTTTTTGCCATTTCTCAGTTTGCGGCCCACTTTTATTACTATTTTTTCTGTGCGACCCACAATGAGATGTTAATATATGAGAAAAGAAACAATGTATCTTTATGCAATTTACTATTAATGTGAAATTTGATCATCTTGCATATTATCAGATCAAGTCTGATATCGACGTAGAATTCTAATTGTTACATATTTTCATAATTCTTACGCAATGATAAGGCCACAATTTCCCGACCTAATTGAAAACTGTATGTAACATCGGAAATATTTCACGACCCACTGGTTGGGAAGCACTGAGCGGTGTGGCTCATCGTGCTAGGCGTTGGGAATACGCTCGCACCTCTGATTACTCTGCGTGGGTTTGCAGGTTCGAATCCCATGCTGGGATGGTTATGTGCGAGATGATTGCTGGACTCCTCGCCGCCGTAGGGTGGTTAACGTAGCCGCTGGTCGGTTACGGCTTCCTCCACCATCAAGTCCATGCTTCTGAAAATAAATAACTAACTAATCCCATACTCGACATGGAATGGTAACCGGACGAGAGGGTGTGTCTCACCACATGGTATGTCTCACCATCCTATCCTAAGTACAGGAAACTCGTTTGAGAGCCGGCTTGTTAGTGACCTTTGAAATACTAAAAGCTGTCGGAACTACCAGTATGTATAATGATGCACTACGCACTGAAACAACTCAGTTTGTTGATTAGTAATCATTATAAATAATTCATTCTTCCAATCTATATTATCAATTTCACTAGATTTTTTTCCGTTGGAATCCAATTGCCTTTTTAGGTTATTTTCTACATTTTCAGCCTTAATGAGGCATTGCAGTAACTTTTTTTCGTAATTTGTTCATTTTGTTTTACCAATCTTCACCAACGAGATATTCTGGGATTTTATTCCGGTGGAATCAAATTTCAATCATTTTTATTTTTCCAGAATTTGTCGTCGTGCACAATGGAATAATGACGAACTATAAGACAATCAAGACATTGCTGGTAAGTTAGAATTTTTTTGATTCAACAAGAAATACTTTTGATATTGTATTAAGTGTGCAGTGCTAAATGTTAAGAACATAGTTATTGTCACACCTTTGATTACCCTGTGTAAGTTTGTAGAGCAGGGGTTCCCAAACCAGGGGTTGCGACCCCAAATTGGGTCGGAGTGATAAGTAGGTAGGGTCGCAAACAGGTTGGATGGATGTACAAAACATCTAATATTTGACAAACCATGTTAAATTTAGTAGTTTGTACCCTGGCTTACTGTGAAACAGGCCCATAGGCATCGCTCTATGCTTATGCTATAAAAAATGTAGGTGCTTATTGTGACATCACTGTTTGGTTTAACTTATTTTACTTAATACCACCACATTAACAAACTCAAAAGTCCAGTTAAAAAAGCTCTAAAGATTATATGGAAAATATATATATATTGACCTGGGGTCACATTGGACACTTAAAAGTTGTCTTTGGGGTCGTCCTGAAAAAAGCTTGGGAACCCCTGTTGTAGAGGATGATTTTGTGTGAGAGCATTGCTGGAAACCTAGTTGGTATAGGGTAGTTCATTATGGCTTTCTAGACCAGGGCTACCCAACTAGCGGACCGCGGTCCGAATCCGGACCTTTCGAGTATTTGATTCGGACTGCACCTAATTCTTTATTTTAGATCATTAGCCTCACTTTTAAAGTTTCATTTTATAAAATGACTTTTATTGTTTTGAATATTTATTAAAAGAACTATAACACCATAATAAACAATCTCGATTAGCTGATATAATCATTAGCGGTCGAAGAATTGCGCGTATATAGATGCCGAAATATAATTTCTGGAAACACCGGACCCAAATAATTGTGAAGTTTTGAATGCGGATCTTCGGTAAAAATAGTTGAGTAGCACTGGTGTATATAATAATATACATTTTGGTCCGAAGCGTCCGTGCGCCGAATTGAGGACATTAGGAAATACTGGTAACGTGTTTACGATAATATACAATCTCGATTAGCTGATGATCACTAGCCGGTTGGAATATAATTTCTGGAAACACCGGACCCAAATAATTGTGAAGTTTTGAATGCAGATCTTCGGTAAAAATAGTTGAGTAGCCCTGGTGTATATAATAATATACATTTTGGTCCGAAGCGTCCGTGCGCCGAATTGAGGACATTAGGAAATATTGGTAACGTGTTTACGATAATATTATACAATCTCGATTAGCTGATGATCATTAGCCGGTTAGAATATAATTTCTGGAAACACCGGACCCAAATAATTGTGAAGTTTTGAATGCGGATCTTCTGTGTCTGAAAAAAATATCTGGGCAGTTATACATATACTAGACAGGGACTAGTAACTAGGTCATGGTACGCTATTCGATCAGGTCTTCATATCGGATGTTCCTCTCCTGTGGGATAAATAGGAAAATAAAAAAAACTGCAAAATTTTTCTATAACTTTCGCCTGACGAAGGTTAGTCTTCATCAGATAAGCACTTCACAACAACGGTTATTGTTATTACAGAATCAAATTTGTGTGTGAAAGTGTGATACACTTTATGAACCAATTAATATTTAATATTATATGGCTTGGCGATGTGTCGCATCATACTAAGAATTAGGAATACGCTCGCCACTGCACCTCTGACTACCCTGCGTGGATCACATCTTGCCATATGATTAAACCATCTCATCGGCTTTCCTCTTCCCTGTAAAAAATATTAAATCCTTACCCCCTGTATCTTTTTACTCAACAGGAGGGACACGGTTACGAATTTGAGTCCGAAACCGATACAGAAGTCGTCGCGAAACTCATCAAATATCTTTGGGATAACAAAGAAAATGATGATGTCAGCTTTAGTACCCTGGTAGAAAGGGTGATTCAGCAAATTGTGAGTATGCTTTACATTTTTTTGGTAATTACTGAAATCGAATCGAGAGGTTTTCGAACTCTTTCAAGTTGTGCCCGGTGCCTTTGTTACTGAAGTACTCGAAAATATTATTTTAGTCAGCATTTTGTAGTTTGTATTTTTCTGTATTTTGGGCATGTTACTTTCGCAGCAAATTGAATTTTGAAAAAAAAAATGTATTGTTATGAACTTCCTCCGTTGGTATTTATAGCAGGAAATAAGGTTTTTATCATCTTATCAGTACAGAAGTATTATCTTGTCTTATTTATCCTTTAATGATAAGCAACCTGGTGCCTTGTAACTGTTATTCTAAGCGATAGCCGCATTCTCTTATCTTGCTTTTCCTGCGGCGCTTTGGTTCTCGCTAATGTATTTTGTCAGTTATGGTTTGCTACAACTTCTGTCAAAGCTGATGCTAACAAACTATGCTAGAACTCGAAATTTCAAGTATCTCACTAAAATTTTGAATAAATGAAATTTTGCTTTGTGATAATTTTTTAATTCGTTGTATACATGGAAAATCTAAATGTTGTTATGTGACCCGGCAAAAAATGTTACACAATTAACCCAAGAACAGATTAGTCTAGAGTGACTAGACTATCTTACTCTAAATGAATTTTTGTCCATTTCCAGCAATTGATTGGGTGCCAATTTAAAATTTATTCCCAAGTCTATTACTTCACTGCTTAGAGTGCCCATATAATTTATTTTATTGTATGCAATTGCAAAGAACTCATAAAACTAAGTGTTAGCAAGTCTAAGAGCTTAACATTTAACCTTTGGGCAATTCCTGATTTTTTTTCTTCAATACTTATGCTTTGTTTTGTCATAAACTGGCAATCCGCCTGTGATAAAGTAGAGAGAGGGTTCTAGTATATTGTGTGAGGATCTCTCAATTTCTTCACTTTGTAAGATTCAAACTAGGATATTGTGTGAGGAATTCAGTTTTCTATTTTCTGTGTATATGGTATGTGCCTCAAACAGTATTAAATTAGCTCATTGCCTTGTATAAGGTGAATGTGGAGAAATACCAAATAAACTCCTATTTCGAATACTGCCTTGTTCAGAGTGAATGTGGAGAAATACCAAATAAACTCCTATTTCGAATACATTCTGGATTAATATGCCTGAATATGGATTATATCAGCGGCGTGGTGCACCGTTCTAAGCGTTAAAAAAACATGCACTAGGCCAAGAATTTTCGAAGGAGAGGGGGTTTTGAAGTTTCTAATTGCTACCTTAAACTGGAACGGCTAGCGGGTCCGACTGGAGGTGGGAAAAAGTGGTTTTCAAAGTCTTGGGGGTTTCAAAAGCATTTCAAGATAACGAAAAATTGCTCTGTATGATACAGAAAAGTGGCTTTTTTGATTCAAAGGGGGGGGGGAGGCCGATCTTTAAACTCTCCGACCCCCCCACCTCCCTGGCTACGCCCTGCCGCCCACACAATTCACTCACCATATCATATATACCAGTTTCAGTAGTATTCATAATAATTCATTTCTGACCCCCTTGTTTGAGTCTTTATTATTTATTTCAGGAAGGAGCGTTTGCGTTTGTGTTCAAGAGCAGACATTACCCAGGACAGTGTATTGCTACAAGGTATGTTTCAGAAATTTTTAGATCTTTTGCTCAATTCTTGTCAGAACAAGGCGTTTTAAGTTTTAAATTAAAGAAAAATCGGGGCTCCCGAAGTATGCGAACCAAGATGGCGGACATCGGAATGTAATATGTGTACTAGGTTAGGGTTAGGCCATAATGTTAGGTATAAATACTACGGGAGGCTCTTGGCTAGTCTTCGAACTGATAATAGGACTAAAATAAGGAAAATTGGAAAAAAATTATCGCCTAACCCTAACCTGTTACCGGTACCCATGTTACCTTCCGATGTCCGCCATCTTGGTTCGCATACTTCGGGAGCACCGAAAAATCAATAAAAAAATCTTCTACTGTGCAATTACTTTTACACTCACGAATGACTTTTTATTTTGTTACATCAGTGCAATGCTTTTCATTCGTGCAGCGCCAAATTATCAGGGAAAAAACTCACGGCACACTAACACACAAAAAAAATTGCTGCCTTTAAAAATGAAACTCATTTTTTGTGATCGTTAATGTGTACTTCATGACTTTTAAAGTTTGTAAACATGTAGGCCTAAAGAATAAAGGCAAAAGGTCATAAATTCCAAATTTTAAACTTAAAAAAATTTGCCATCATGTACTAACTTAAAATTCTCTAGTGTAGCTTTTATATTCCTGTTAGCACACCAGTGTTACTCATAACTTGCACAGAGATGAGTCTTCTTTGTTTCGGAATGATAAAAAAATTAAATTTTTACAGGCGAGGTAGTCCTCTTCTCATTGGGATTCGAAGTGAATCAAAAATAACGACAGACTCCATTCCTATTTACTACAGCAGTGGTGAGTACTGAATGCTAGATTACTTGACAAAGAAAAACAATTTAAAACTTGTTTTTTTTGTGATTTTATTCAAAGTTATGTTACCTATGATAAATACAATACAAAAACTAGTTTTAGCAATGGAGTAAACGACGTTGTGAGTTGATGTGTGTCATGTCAGCTGAAATTCTCGTTGTTGGCAATATGGTTCCATCTACCATTCCTGGCTAATAAGTTACTTATAAAGAGTCAGTGTCATTTGTAAAGTTACCTTTGTGTGAAACTAGGGTGTGGCCAGGAATTTTCAAAGGGGGGGGAGGGGGGGGACTGAAATTTCTAATTGCCAGGTCGGACTGTATCAGCTAGTGGATCCGGTAAACATGGGTTTTCAATAGTCTTTGGGGTCTAAAAAGTGTTTCAAGCTACGAAAAATTGTTATGTAAGAAACAGAAACCTGCTCTTTTCCACATTTCAAAAGGGGTTCTGGCCCGCAACCCCAGGGGGTACACCCCTGTGTGAAACATTTATAAAACTTGGTTGTGTTTTCATCTGTTCAATCCAAACCATAAAAATCCAGGCAGAATTTCTTTTTAGAAGTTTGATTATTTCCCTTTACTTTTTTCCTGTACGGTAGCTCTTAAGATTCCAATGTTTGCTCGTGACTTGACTATTCTTTGCAACAACCTTCATTTTTTTTTAATGCTCGCACACTTTACAAAATATGTGATTTTTAATTAAATATGTGCCACTGTTTTGTTACTAACTCTGCTTGGAAATCATATTTAACAACCATGTACTAAAATTTCACTACTCCCGTAGTATGTGTACCAGGTTAGGGTTAAGGTATAATTTTATTCCGATTTTCCTCATATTAGTTCTATTACGAGTTCAATGACGGTTTGTGTTAGCCAAGTGTATATATTCCGTCCCTTTACACAACTTGATGTAAAGTAGGCGAACAAAATAAACAGTATTGATATGACTCCTATCGGTACTGATAGTAAGAGGTTTTATCAGTTTTATCTTACCAGCCTTGGAGTGAGATTTTTCATTGTCTTATCTATAAATTAATGATAAGTGAGCGTTCATTTTTGGAAATTATTTTAGTAAAATAAACTGTTTTAATATACATTTTATCAGTACTGATAGTGTGATGGGAACTTTTAACATCTCATCATCCCCAAAGTGACATTTTTCGAACCTCCTGAAGTATGCGCACCGAGATGGCGCAAAACCTGAACCCAGTGTACTAGGTTAGGGTTCAGGTTGTGCGACATCTTGGGGCGCATACTTCAGGAGTACCCATTTTTCATTGTCTTATCAATATATTAAAGATAATCATAGATAATTTTTAGGAATGTTTCTTGAAAAAAATATTATTGATATGAACTTCCATGGGTACTGAAAGTAGAATATGGGAGATTTTATCATTATGTTATTTATGTATTAATGATAAGCGATTAGATGTTTCATCTTTTTACCAGCATCAGGGTCTTATCTTGTCTTATCTATACATTGCTGATAAGTGATTTCAATATCACCCCTTTCCCTAGAATGGAAAGAACATTTACGTAAAAAGAGCAGTGGGCTAGAACGCCCCAAACTGTCAGATCTTATGAAAATTGACGAAAAATTAGAAGAAAAAGATGAGAAAAATGGTATTTAGCACCAAAACTTGTGTGGAATCGTTTTTTATAATTATTCATGGAAAAAATGCAAAATTGTTCGCAATTTTACATACAGTAATTCAGGTTGGGATGTTTCATTTGTAATTTTTATTTATTCTGATATAAACGCTAAACGCAATTGACTAGGTCAGTGTTGTGGGCCCACATTAAGAAACACCACAGCACCACATTAAGTAATTACTAATTCACGCTTGAATTTTTGGTTTTATAATTTTTTCTTTCCATGGTCTTTGACAGTATTTCACAACCTTTTCAATGCTATGGGACTGTGCTAAGCGGTGAGAAATACTTATTATCACACTTTGCGTGGTTTCACTGGAGTTAGTTCGAATCCCATGGACTCTTATTATATGCAAGAGAATTGCTTGACTTGTCGCCAGTGTACGGTGGTTCATGTATTCATGCCCTCTTGGTTGAGAGGTGTGGCGCATCGTGCTGAGCGTTAGGAAAACGCTCGCCTCGACACCCTTGATTACCCCATGTGGGTTTCGTAGGTTTGAATCCGGGGCTAATTATTTGCGAGAGGATTGGACTGGTAATCGGCTGTGGTTTGCTATAGGATTAAACCGTTTTATAGACTTTTCTCATAAGCTTTTTTCTCCTCTGGGATAAATATATCTAATTCCTATTCTGTTACAAGCCCATGTCAGTTATGGTGAATAGTTAGCCAGTTATTTGTTACAGCTGTATGAAATGGATGGTGGAGAAAACTCTAACCAACCAGCGGTTACGTGAACCGTGTATAATAGAAAGAGTCCAGCAATTCCCTTGCACATAATTATCTCCCACAAGATTCCAATTTACGAACTCACACATGGTAATCAGAAACATGATGGCAAACGATTTCACTAATACTTTGCATGATGTGCCAATCCGATCGCTGAGCCAAACTTTGTCTATCACTTTGTAGATATAATTCAAGAATAATTTATTTTCAGGTGAAGGTCTGGGATTTTATAAGTAACTTTTTATTTAGGAGAATGTTAATTTTAGGCATTGCCTGTGCATAGGTGCATGAAATTATTATTCACTATTAGTAGTTCACCTGGCTTTACGAATCAATTTTCATTTTTATTACTATTAATTCCTTTGGTACTCCTGTAGTGTGTGTAACAGGTTAGGGTTAGGGCATAAATTTAATTTTGATTTTCCTTATTTCAGTTCTATTACAAGTTCTGGACTGTCTGTGTTAGTCAAGTGAATATACCCCCCTGCCCATGCCATAGGTTTCAGTCCCTTTACACAACTTAATGTGAAGTAGGCGAACAAAATTAGTTACCACTGCATTGGTGCACACACTTCTGGAGCGCCATTCCTCTTGTGAGCGCAATTGCCCAATCATTAGCATTAGCCGTTACACAGTTTGAGGCGCAGAATAGTCAACATCTTATCTACGGGGTAATTAGTTAGGCAATGCGAAACTAGAAATATTCCCGCCCTTCGAGATATAAAAGCTCCTTGCATTCTAGTGGCCGCAAGCACAGAGGCTTGTTTTAAGTAAATGCGTAAAAATACTCGATCAAAATACAATAGTGACTAACAATAAAACTGAAATTTCACCTATTAGATATATTTTGTTTGCCTTTCTCATAAAGCTATGGACTGGGAATATAAAGCTGAAATGGGCTCCAATTAGCACACAATTTTTACGCTTTGTTAAAATTCCATGAGATTTCAGTAACTCTTATTGGGTGACGTAACTTTGCCCAGAGATGAGTTTTCTTCACTTCTGAATGAGTGCCTGTAAATTTGCTCAGAGATGAGTCTCTTTTACGCCTGAGTGAGTGCCCATAACTTTGCTCAGAGATGAGTCACCCTTACTTCTAAATGAGTGCCTGTGAGATAGTCTTTTTTACTTTAGAGTGAGTGTCCATTAAGTTGATCGTAGATGAGTTTCCTTTATTTCTGAATGAGTGCCTGCAGCTTTGCTCAGAGATTAGTCTTATTTTATGTGTGAGTGAGTGGGTGTGACTTTGCTCAGAAATGAGTTTCTTTACTTCCGAGTGAGTGTCCATGAATTTGCTCAGAGATGATTTTTCTTCCATTATGAGTGAGTGCACGTGATTTTGCTCAGAGATGAGTCTCCTTTACTTCTGAATGAGTGCCTGTAAGTAACTTTGATCAGAGATGAGTTTCCTTCACTTCGAAGTGAGTGCATGTGACCATGCTTTAAACAAATTTTCAGAAAATTATTTCATCATGCCCCTCATCCTATTTCCTAACTTATGAACAATTTTACCTGCAGAATACTAATAAATTTTAAGAAATCTGTAGTTAGAAAGGAGGTTATATTCAACCATACACTTCTACTGTATTCCAATTTAGTTATACTTCACAATTTTTGCTCATTTTAATCTACCAGTATATTTAGTAAGCATCAACCAATTGCGGAATAATTGCAGCTGCATTTAATGTAATTTGTGCTGCCTAATTTAGTCAAATGCATTTTTATAATTTCAATTCATAACATGCACGTACCTAAATCATTTTTGCTGACTTGTTAATTTAGCTATAGTTTCTATTTTATCCTTTTAGATGCTATATAAGCCATAGTTTGGTATTAAAATTTATCTTACTCTCCATTTTATTTCAAGTATTTTGGACAAATTTTATTTCTTTGAACGTGACGACTTATTGCAGTTTGAGACTCTTTCTTCCTCCCTATATATGCATAGAGAACTAAAAGCAAATTCAAAACAAAATTTCTTCTTCGTTGGAAACATAGTGTGTAAAGTGTTATGCTTAACTAAGTTAGCATTGCGGGTTGAAAATATTTAGCTCAAATCCGATGCACCCAAGGCAAATAAATGGAATAGTCCAGGCTGGGGGAAATTACTTTTCTTGAGTGGGCCAGTTACAGATAATAGACTCTGTTATTGGACCGGAAGCTCAAATCTTAATATGAAAAAATACGAATAAAAAGCATTTCATTTTGAAAATTTAATTTTCAAGCAGCGCGTGAAAACATTTGAATATTTTCTGCGCCATTGAACCATTTGCACTCAGCATCAACTATTTTACGTTCTGTTGCCAATTGTCTAATTATAATCAATTTATAGGGATAGTCCAACAGCTAGGCCAACGTTTGTATTATCATAAGAAGCACAAAGTTACAATCGAGGTCATTATGACGATATTTTCTTCGATATTTTCAACGGAAATACATATCCATAAAAACTATAGTCCTAATTCCAACAGACGCAAGTGGGCCAAATGAAACACTTCGGTGGACTGGATCTGGTCGACTGACCTTAATCTGCCCACCCCAGGAATAGGCAATACGGAAATAAATTGCAGTCTTCTCAAATTATGGTATATCACACAAGTGGCTGCTTGCACGATGCCTTGTTCAGAGTGAACAAAATCTTGAATTATTGTTTTTTTTTCAAATTTCTGCTTTTTCGGTAATTCATGTTTTCAGCAATTCATTTTTATCTGTTAATTAAAGTAGTTTATTTTTATCAGAAATTCATGTAATTCATTAATTCCTTCTTTCCAGCAATGAAACCGACATTGGAAAGAACAGAAAGCAGATCCGAAGTCGTAACTCAAGATGCAGAAGGAGGAATTGAGTTTTATTTTGCTTCAGATGCAAGGTTTGTGTTGTTTTGACAATTTCCTCAGAACTAGTCTCCATGCAAGCGGATCAGGATTTGGGGCCACCTCGCTTTATCACATTCACACTATACACAGTGTGCTGACAGCAGAGGCATAGCCATGAATTTTTAAAGGGGGGGGGGGGATTATTTCTAATTGCCATGACCGTAACAGCAATCAGGGGCCAGCAGGGAGGAAACATGGGTCTAAAAAGCGTTGCAGGCTACGAAAAATTGCTACGTTTGATACAGAAAACTTCCTTTTTCACTATTCAAAATGGTTTTTTTCTCAATCCCCCTGGGTGCGCCCCTTGTTGACGAGCTCGGCATTTTCATCCGCAGTCCAGGGTAATGCTCTAATAGAATTAAGATTCCTCATCTATTGCACACTTGATAGCTTATAAGTATAACCTAATTTGCAGACCGTAAACCGCATTGGGCGATGAGGCTCACCGGTTTTAAAGCAATACTTGTACTGATTTTAAGTGTAGTCCGTAATTGAGTGTTTATTCATACATTGGGTGCATGATCGATTTTTTAGAAAAAAGGAATAAAAAGTCATAAAATACGATAATAATGTGTAACATATAACTTGTTATGTATGAATAGTCATGTTAAATGTTGAAATACATTTCAATTCATATTGTTATGGCGTTAACTGATATTAATATTTCAACTTTTCTAACAGTGCAATCATTGAGCATACAAACAGAGTCATTTATTTGGAAGATGATGATGTGGCAGCAGTGGTAAAAGGAGGTACGTATGTTATTTGTTCTGCCTGGTCATAGCTGACTGCACATTTTCTGATTTTTCTCACACTAGTGTACTGAGAACAGCGATGTAAGATAAACCATATTTATAATTAAAAATTGTTGAGCTCAGGTACGATTTAGAATATTTGTTTAAAAAATTATCTTCTTTGAGCTTATGAAGTCTTATTGAAGGGTTGCAATTGGCTAGACTAAAATTATCTAGGCACATGGTTGTATATTTTGTTAAAAATAATGGCTTTGTGAGCATGTAAATCAGCTGTGAATATCAAGTACGCAGAGCACCTGCAAAATAAAAATAATAAAGTATAGGAAGAATTTTTCAGGTGTCAAGGGTTGGGGAAACGTCCATTGTGTTATTGTTGTGTTTTGGCTTACGCATTCTTCGGTTTATCACGATTTTTGAATATAACCTAGTACGAAAACGAGACTCATAAATTTTTTGATCACTCCGACCAAAATGAATAAATTTTATTTAACACTTGAACTTCTGTTCATGTATGATTGTGCCCAAATGTTCAGTAACCTGGGACGTATTGCACAAAAGTTGTTTTCTCTCCAAACCAAAGTTTTTCAGAAAAACCCTTATGTGAGCTTTTAATCTCTGTCAACACCCACTTATCCTTTTCTTTAAATATTCTAAATATTAAACGCAAACATTGTGACATTATTTAAGATTGCTGTTTTAAATTCTTAGAACTTTTTATTTTATAACTTTCCTGTTTCAAAAAGAACAATAATAAAAATGAAAGTGTTTCACTTATTGTAAATTTGAAATTATATTTTCAATACAAACCTATGTTAACTTTTAATCTCTAACTAGAACAATCTACCGTAAATATTAAACGCAAACATCTTGAGTTCTTGACATTATTTAAGATTGCCGTTTTAAATTTTTAGATCTTTTTTTAGTAACTTCACAGTTTCAAAAAAACAAAAAGTTGAAATAAAACTAGTAATTATTGTAAATTTGGAATTTTATCTCTGGAATTTATCACAAACAATGTTCCCTCTAGTTTTTGTAGTATGTGTGCGCAGAAATTCTGGTGTGTGCGCACTTTTTCGGAAATGACTAATATTTGTGCAAAAACAAATGCAGAAATTTTGGCGTTCTAACCGGGTAATAAGTGGGCCAACAACAAACTTTCTCAACCTGCCAACCGAGAACATTGTTACATTACATCGAAATACGTCTGTGCGCAGTAAATCTATGCGTGTGCGCGGCCTCTGAAACTGTTTGCGCGCGTACACGCGCAAACTTTAGAGGGAACACTGTTCACAAACCTTTGTTAACTCGTTATCTCTAACCAGAACAATCTACCGTAAATATTAAATGAAAACATCATAACGTTATTTAAGATTGCCGTTTAGATTCTCAGAACTTTTTGGAAAAATCAAAATGAAACTTATATTGTAAATTTGAAATTTTATCCTTGGTACAAACTTTTAAGTTAACTTTTAATCTCTAACTAGAACAATCTAAATATTAAACGCAAACATCATGACGTTATTGGAAATTCCTGTTTCGATTCTTAGAACTGTGTCACCCAGTGAGACAAAGTAAACTTTGTTATCATTATTAGCATACTTAGAATATTGACAAATACTCTACAGGAAAAAAAAAATGGAAATGCCGTGCTTCGCTATTACGTGATCCTAGGAGAAACATATTAAGGAAGTTAAAAACCGAACGCGTGGCTGATGAATCACATTTTTACACAGATCAGAAATTGAAATTTAAGACTTTAAAATGGAATAGCCAAACAATTTTAGGGTTCTCCGTACTGAAAAAGAAATGATTTTGTTATGAATATATTTTATTAATCTGGTGGTATTTTATCCCCATTTGGTTATTCTCTATTTCAAATAGGTAATCTATAAAGTTTATATTGTGTGCGCCTTGGTTGTCGGTCTCCAGTATCCAATAGTTAGTTTTCTACAGTTATTCCCCCATATTTATCAGCGGTAACCAACCGATTCTCAAGGGGCCCACAGAGCAGTTGGGGGGGGCCATAATGCTCGGCAAAAAAAAACGATTTTACTTTTCACTTGACAAGAAAACCCTTGTTCTTCCTGGTTTCAATACTTGATCTGGGTATTTCACAAGGTGTTTTCACTTCTTTGAACATGCATTGTTTAAGCATAATGGAATCTACTCAATTCTCAATCTCAATTTGGAATCTACTATCAATTAAAGTAACACTATAAATACCACAAGAATGATAAACGAAGGGGGGGGGTGAGCCATAAAATATTGGGAACCGCTGATCTGCATATCTCCAATTGTCTGGTTTTTGTCAACTAAAAGAGAAAGAGGGTTACGACTTTATAAATCCAATATGGTTTTGGCGTTCGATAATTGTCATGTGGAGAGTCCCTAATGTTTGTAGTTTGATGAAAAGCAAAGCAAGATGTGAAACTTATATATAACATATAGTATAAATAGGATAGGAGTTTTAAATACTTGGACTTCTGAGAGAGAGAAGTGGATAGAGTAGGATTTACTTATAATCAGTAGACTAAATAAATTAGTCAGTTTAATCTACGGCAAAAAATTGCCTATTGTCCGATTATTTCTGGTCAAGTACTGCTAGTCTGGTGATGTGTTCAGAATAAAATTGCCAGAACTAACTTAAATGGTTGAAAAATTAAATTTATTGACGTTTCCATGTCTATCCTTGTAATTTCTCCTATATAAATCTTCAAGTCATAAATACGTATGACACAGGCTTTGGAAACGCCCAGAGAACATAGCAGTAGTGATGTCCTTATCATTATCGTTTAGTGTTGTAATCAAATAGTTTTTTCCAATTTCGGTTAATCAGAATTCAGAAAGTCGAAAAACTTGCGACAATGGCCGCTCGATTTATTTATATTTTGTCACGTCTTGAGTTCAAGATCGGAATCAGGAATTCCCACGCATGATGATTTTTCTGTTGCGCAAAATATTCACTTCATGACCCAGTCGAGTACTGGTTGTCTGGAGAAGCGATATGAGAACACTTCTAAAATAAAATTACCCGAACTAGAACAGAGTTGAAATTTAAATTTATTGACAGTTTCATATCTATCCCTGGAATTTCTCCTATATTAATCTTCAAGTCATAAATACATATGATGCAGACTTTGGAAACGCCCAAAACAAAGAGTAAATATCATATTTAATATTGTATTATAAGCTATAACTTATTTTTCACCGTTTTTATGAGGTAATCAATTCATATAGTGATTAATGTTCATGAGAAAAATATGTTTTTGATTCGGTTTATTGACATAACTTTATGAGATGGAATTTTTATAACTCAAAAAGTAATTTCATCTGAAATATTATTCGAACGTCGGACTCGTAGACATAATGATCTAGTTCAGGCAGCAGGCGGGCCAGATTGAATTACTTAACAGTCTGGATTTGGCCCGCGGGCAGTAGTTTGCTGCCCATGCCAGGGTTAGGGCTTTTGCTCAAATCCAACCTCTTTACCCAAGATGCAATAAATTGGTTAGGCAATGCTTAATCTTCAAAAAATAGTGCTTTTTACAGACAAGTGGTTTCTTGTAGAGAGCCTTGTGCTGAGTAAAATGTGAAAATACCTGATAAAAATATGCATTTATGGGGTGTCAAAGATGTCTTGAAATTTTTTTAAATTGCAAAAGGAATTCATCGATACCATATTTTGTTTTGGGGGAACCAGTTTGTAAAACGCTGGTTTAGCCTATCCTGGCATCCTCTTTTCGGTGCTCCCGAAGTATGCGAACCAAGATGGCGGACATCGGAACGTAACATGGGTAACAGGTTAATGTTAGGCGATAATTTTTTCCAATTTTTTTTATTTTAGTCCTATTATCAGTTCGAAGACTAGCCAAGAGCCTCCCGTAGTATTTATACCTAAAATTATGGCCTAACCCAAATCTAGTACACATATTACATTCCGATGTCCGCCATCTTGGTTCGCATACTTCGGGAGCCCCCTCTTTTCAACCCTTTAAAACCTCTTATGACCCCATTTGTGACCGATTTTCAATAGTAAATACAGTTGCTGAGATTCAGTAATTCATGGGATCGAGTATTCGTTCTTTTGCACGTTTTAATGTTTGATAACGTTGATAAAGGTCGTTCATCTCAAGGTCGTATATTAATTTTGATAAGGATGTTTGTCGAAAACAGCGTCATGGGGAACCGTTTCTCTTGTTTAAATAAATCACAGAAATTTGTCATTGGTAGTTGAAACCACCTTCTTAATCATGGTTATTTAAACGACCCGCTTGGCACGACCAAATTTTTTTGTAACCCTCGGAAACTTAAACAACTAAAATCAAAGTTGTGACATAACAATAGTTCTGTCACGCATGATGGCCCGTCAACGTATTTTCTTTTTTTTTCTGGCTGGGGGAGGCGTGCTTCTCTGTTTCTTTAAATAAAATTTGCTCATCCTACTCAAGCTCTAACGTTTGGTTTCGTCACGTCACGTCTGTATCTATTTTTCTCATCTGTTGGATATGCTTTCTTAGCAATACTTTAAAAATGTTCTTGAAACATATTCCTTGAAATATTATTCAGATAATTTATGAAAATGTTTCAAATGTTGATATTGATATCTGATATTGTGTGTGGCTCCTAATCATTTTTTTAATCATTTTTTTAAAAGGGGAATCACATTGTTTGTAAAAAAAATTGGTTCATGCAGTCATTGGTGGTTTTGCTTAAATCATAGAGTCAGGGAAAATACTGTCAAAATGACTTTGAGAAAGAATCAAAATAGTATAAAAGAATATTAGTTGACATACAAATTTTTCAGTACCATGTCAACTCAATACTGTCAGGTTTAAAAAGCACAAAAAAAGACTTCCTCTGTCAGGGTATCCAACATGCCTCATATTTTTCTTTTGGAGATTAATATTGGAATCGAATAACAACAAAGTCATCTTGTATGTCATATTTTTCTATGTTACCACTGTTAAATGGGGCCGAATTTACTGAGAAAAACAGTAATTTTAATTAATTGGATTTCTAAAAAATTATTTTTTTTGCTCCCAAAGTTTGGTTTGCTGGAGTGCTTTACTCTTCAAAATAACAGTCAGTTAGGAGTTTATTTTCACACATGCTGAAAATACACATTATACATACAGAATTAGGAAAGATAAAAAAAAATGCATTTCAGTATGATGGAGACTTGATAAACCAGTAATGGTTAATGGTATAACCAGTAATCAGCTAAGCAACCAGAAACCAAGTAACAAAAACAAAACAAAACCTTTTCAAACAAAGCCACTGGTACAAATGGAACACTATTTTTAGAATCTCAGCACCGATACCTCCAACATGAGACGTCAGTATCGTTATCGTGGTTCAAACACTCATTACTTCGTGACTACTAAGGTTAATCACATATTCAAATATGCTTTTCACAAAGTTTCACTTTTTCTTTTATCACACATTATGACCAAACAATAATCACTTCTATGAACAAACAATTCTTAGTACCGTGTCATTGTCAATGATATATGTATGATTGATTACAGTATATCAATACAAGTTAAGTGTAATATGGCCAGCCGTTTAAGAATTAATTTGAAAGAATTTACGAAGGATAACAGAAAGTTATTCTTAAGAGTTTTAGGAATTTAGTAGTTTGTAGAGCGTCTTGATCAGGGGCGGCAAGGTTTTTGGACCAGGGGACAGGTGTCATAAATTTTGCTTACCCAGAGAGGTGGGCCATGTAAGTATGACGTAAAAGTTGCATTTTGTGAAGAATATTTACAGTGTTACAAAAGCAAGAGTGGAAAACAATAAGCCTTGTGTCAAAACTAAATTTTATCGCAATCCTTACAAATTTATTAGGCTATTTTTTTATCTAAATATCAGGCGAGCCAGGTTGAATTACGGTAGGTGGCGGGCCAGATTTGGTTTGCTGGCCATACTTTGTCCATGTCTGGTCTTAAATGAACACCAATTGAAATATAAATTTGAAAAAAATATTATTAGAAAAGTTGTTAAAGGGTGCAGACAGTTGGTGGAATTAGGTAGTTTTTTGCACACTCATCAAAATTAAGTTTAAAAGTGAACTTATTAAAAAGGTGATGAGAGTAAAGATAATCAAAAATGAGTTTTTGGTTCGGATAAGTTTTCAATTTGAAATGTTTTCAATTTGAACACCAATTGCAATTCAAATTTTGAAATAATGATATTTAACTTTATATATAAAAAATAGAATTATCATTATTCTGGTATAGGCAGTTTTCTTGTGTCAGGGTACTAGGTCATAGAAATTTTTTTTTTATAATTGCTGAGTCTACAGGCTTGCAGAATTAGTCTGTATGGTTTAATATGAGGAAGCATAGAGGTGCCTGACAAAACGTTGTAATCAAATCAATACTGGAGATCAATACTTGATAAAGAACTAATATACTTCCTGAACCTACTTCCTGAATATTTAATCTTTGAACTGTGATGTGTTAGAAGTTGCATCAAGTGTTAGAGTTGTATCTTTAGTGCCTAGGCCAGCAAACTTTGACCTATCCAGTGAAGCGGAACCCCAATGAGAAGTTCCTTATATAAAAAAGCAACATATAAAAACTACATAGATTTAAAAGCAAACCTAACAGCGAAAAAAATGATCTTTATTTTTTGAAATACAATGTGTTAGAGTTGCATCAAATGTTGAAGAGTCAGAAACTTTGATGAAGTGCAATTGCTTCTACAACTGTTATTAGGCGCGTTGTGAGGATCATTCTACAAAGTAAAAGTGTGAAAAAGATGTGTTATAATGAACTGATTCTTGAGTAGCAAAGGTTGACTACCCAATTAATCTTTGTACAGTGACATGCTTGAGTATCATCTATTCTAGTGCCAAGAGTTCAGCACAGAGACATTGTCGGAATCCTCCCCCCCTCCCCTTTTGAAATGCCAACTTTCCGATCAAGATTTCATGCTTAATAATGAAAAACCGATGTATTGACAAGGGCCACACTAAATGGCATGGCGGAACGGGTTATTGCTTACGGGCCATCTGTTTCACACTCACCTACTCTAGTGCCTTTACCATATTACACCGATGTAGTTTCTGAATAGAAATGCCAAATCTGGCTCCAATGAAAACCAGAGCTAAAATCTGATATCACATCCCTGGTTTCCTGTTCAGTTATTTTTTTTTCTTGTATTTTCATCCCAATCCTCTTTTTCCAGGTCTTTCTATTCACCGTATAAAACGTGGAAATGTGAATGAGAGTGGCGCGCGAGTAATCACTTCATTGCAGATGGAAATGGCTCAAATCATGAAAGGAGAATTCAGCTCTTTCATGCAAAAGGTTAGTCTTATTGTTGAATGTCAATTACAGTCCTGTCCCAGTCTCAACCGGGTCGTTGACAGGGGAATAGCCAGGGGTGGTGCAGGTTGAAAACCCCCCTCCTTTTGAATAGTGAAAAAAAATTCTGTAATATACATTGCAATTTTTCATAGCTTCAAATGCTTTTTAGACCCACAGACTCGCATTGTCAGCTAGCTGATATGATCTAACCTGGCAATTTGAAATTTCAACCCCCTACTGACCTGCGAAACCGGTTTTAATTTTAGTTTAATCTGGTACATGAATTCCAATTCCTTTGCGTTGCAAAGCCTTTACCTGAGTCCAGTTTATGATATATGCCTATGACGTTAAATGTCCTAACAGGTAGCTTGTGCGAAGCGTACATATCATATGATCAATAACCAAATTTTTTGTGCCTGCGACTACAAGAAAGCTTATATTAAATGAAGGTGCGGCCCGTGGATACTACTTAGAGACTTGAAATTTACATCACATGCAGATAATAAGTCCCCCATCATAAATTGCAAATTTTATGCATGACTGACCACGCTTTCACGCTCCAGTGAGCAAAACGTGTCTTCAGTTTTTTTACGCGGGAAGCCTGTTGAAGCTGCACACAGCTCTAGTTTTATTTCGATTTTCCGTATTTAAGTACAATTACAAGTTCGGGGATTGTCTGTGTTAGCCAAGTGAATATACACCCTGCCCATAGGTTTCAGTCTCTTTACACAACTGGATGTAAAGTAGGGGAACAAAATTAGATATATTTGTATCAGGCCCTCCTGTAGTAAAGATTGCATACTCCTGCACTAGCCCGCTCTTCATATTATATTTCTACATTCAGGAAATCTTTGAGCAGCCAGAATCTGTCGTAAACACCATGAGAGGACGAGTATTGTGGGATGAGAGGCGCATCCATCTTGGAGGATTAGCCGACCATATTACAGAGATAAGACGATGCAGAAGAATTATTATCATTGCTTGCGGGACCAGCTATCATTCTGCTATTGCTGTAAGTAAATTCTTCTTACTATTACAATAGATGTGTTGCATTGGCAATATCACCAGGGTGAATATACAGGGTGTCCATAAAGTCCCTTTACAATTTCAATATTGTCATGAAGTCAATTTTCAATATATCTTAACCAGGTTTTTTGTTTTTTAATCAGTAATTATTTAAGTATTTTTACTCCATTTAATACATCTGTATTGATAAATGTCTTAAAGACTTTATGACACTCTATATATCTGATAATTTTTAGAGATGCCAACTCTTCCTATTTTGGCATAATATTTATTATTTAGTATGTTCTGTTAAAGAACTTTGCCAGGGCTGGGGGTCGCCTGACATTTCAGCCACGAGCCCATTGGTCCCCAACCTTCTATGGTCCCATTCCGAAGGCACTCATGGCCCCAGTTTATCATTCCAGTGGTATTTATAGTGTTACTTTGATTAGTTAATTCCAAATTCCACTGTGTTCAAGTAATTCATGCGCAAGAAAGTTTACACTCGCTGTAAAATAGCCTTATCGAGTAATAAAACCCTGAAGAACAGAATTTTCTGTTGAAGGGAAATGTTAAATCAGTTTTTGGGGCGCCTAGCATTGTGCTCTCACACTATCTGCTCTGTGGCTGCCTTGGAGACATGGACCGAAGGTTGGGAACTGCTGCACTAGCCCATCACTCCAATTATTAAAAAATGGGAGTTTCAGCCAGAACGCTTTCTCAAACTCTATATTTCTGAACGAGTTTTGACACCTCTCTAAAAAGTATCACATCTCCTCGTTAAGGTGTGCTCTGATGTAATATGAGTATATGACCATTGTTAATTCTGTTTCATGTTTTTTATTTCAGACTCGTCAACTTCTTGAAGAATTGACAGAACTTCCGGTCATGGTTGAATTGGCAAGTGATTTCCTTGACAGAAGCACTCCTATATTCAGAGATGACGTCTGCTTTTTCATCAGGTAAGAATAATCTACAAAAATTTAAGATTAGGTAAATAAAATAACATACAGCCTCTTACAAGACTTGTACAAGACACCACTGAAACAATAGGGATAATCTGTATCACTTTGGCACTTCTTACTCAATTTATTATATTTGGGAAACTAGGAGACGAGTTCTAATTCAGGGTTTTTAAAATGTCGTCATAGTTTGACTTTGATGAAATGGTTTAACCATTAGACCTGTGGTTCTAAACCTTTTATGGCTTGTTGCCCACTTTGGGGAGTTTTCTTGTAAAGTGGAAAGTAGGATAGGTATAAGTTTTGCGCCAGGATTGTGGTGCCCTCTCTGCTCTGTGGCCCTCTTGTATCTTCTTCAGATATGATGTGTCAACTTTTTTTTACCCGGTCAGAACAGCTGTTGCACCCCTAATTTGACCTCCTTTTGTCTATTTCCAAATTCTGGGTACTGCCGTAGTGTGTGTACTAGGTTAGGGTTAGGGCATAATTTTATTCTGATTTTCCTTATTTTGGTTCTATTACGAGTTCGGGGACTGTTCGTATTAGCCAAGTGAATATACCCATGGGTTTCAGTCCCTTTACACAACTTGATGTAAAGTAGGCGAACAAAATTAAGTTTCCTCCATATTGGTACACATACTTCTGGAGCGCCGAATTCTGTTTTCATTGTTTTTCAATTGACGTGTTCTAAAATATTTCTGACGAAGAATGCGTGGAATAAAAGTAAACTTTCATACTTGTGAAGAGTTGCAATTTGATACTGGTAGAACAACGGCCTCATCGAGTCTCACGCGATCCTATAGATATAAACAATTAGATATAAAAATGATTATTTCAGTACACTCACTCATCATTTGAAAAACGACATATACAACCAATACCACCCCAAAAGCAATAAACGCCTCCCTGGGCTTAGTGCTTTGAACACAAATATGAAATTCCCCATAAAAACAAACTTCTACATCTTGTATATTCTCATTTACAGCCAATCTGGGGAGACAGCAGACACTCTAATGGCATTACAATACTGCAAGAACCACGGTGCATTGACTGTTGGCGTTACAAATACCGTTGGCAGCACAATTTCACGCATGACTGACTGTGGTGTTCATATCAATGCTGGACCTGAGATTGGAGTGGCTTCTACAAAGGTAAGATATTCATAGAACTTATATTTAATGGTTAGACTGTGGTGTTCATATCAATGCTGGACCTGAGATTGGAGTGGCTTCTACAAAGGTAAGATATTCATAGAACTTATAATTAATGGTTAATAATTAACTTATAATTATGTATGAGAGGATTCCTGGACTCTTTGCCGCTGTAAAGTGGTATTAGTGACCGCTGGTCGATTGCACAATAGACACACGAACAAACAAAAACACATCATCATCACAGGGTGTAATTTAATTGAAAATGCATGCCGGGATGATGGGCAATGCAAATTATTTTAATTGACGCTTGTTAGTGTCTCAGCTCTGAATAGGTCACTATACAAGCAGCCAAGTAAAAAGCAACTATTATTTATGTGCGAGAAGATTGCTGGACTTCTTTCCGCCGTAGGTTGGTTCACGTAACGGCTGTTCGGTTTCGGCTTCCTCCGCCATCAAGTCCATGCATCTGGAAACAAATAACTGGCTAACTAATATCATACCCAAAATGGACTGGTAACCGGACGAAAGGCCGTGGTTCATTGTATGATTAAGCAGTCCTATCGGCTTTTCCCCTCCTGTGATAAATATGTAAATCCTAAATCCTAATTATGATGAATTACAGATCACAAATCTTGGTTTCAGATCCCATGTTTTAACCTTACCCAGGATGTAATATATTGTGTAGACCAGTGTTTCCCAACCTATAGGGTGCGGGTCATTTGGGCGCCTTTAAATTTTTTTGGGTTGCTTCTGCTTGTTTTTTAACGAAAACCTAGGTGACCGTACATTTGAACCCACGTACATTTGAACCCATGCGTATATCCACGGGTTCAATCTATATGCGGGTGCTAAAACCTATGGGTTAGGGTTAGTATGGGTTCAACTATCCGAAAAACAAAAAAAATTTCATAGGTGCAATAGCATACAGGTGCAATTGTCATGGGTTCAAATGTACGTGGGTTCAAATGTAATGGGACCGAAAACCTAAACGTTACTAATTTTATTTTATTTTAAATTTATTGTTTATTATATATTTGGTATTGCAGTGTTACTCAATAGTAATTTATATGTAGGGAGTATTGCAACTTAAAACTTGGCAGCATTAATTTCGCTAAGTAAAGCTACACTACCATTTCAAAAACTCGCTGATGACTGCCTTCGCACTATGGGGTAATGTCTGGGGGTAGAAATGATTGTTTTATATTAGTCATTGAGTTTGCGGTAATTGATATCTTCTCTTTTCTTTTCCCCCATAATGACAAATAGAAATTTATTTTCAGGCATACACCAGTCAATTTGTTGCCTTGGTGATGTTCGCCATGATGATGTGTGAGGATCGTTACTCCAAACGACAGAGATACGACGAGATATTCGATGCTCTGAAAGCGTTACCTGGTAAGTTCACAGTGTTAACTGTATTTAATTATTTTATTGTCAAGTGTCTAATGTAGTGGTTCTCGAACTTTTTAAGCCACACCCCCTTTGAGTTTGTCAAGTCTTGCGCCCTATCTGAATAATAAATAGCAGACGAGAATATCGGTCAGAGACCGAAGACTTATCGATCGAAAGTTAGGGGATCCCCCAAAACAGTGCTCTTACTCCATAGTGACACCTTGTGTCCCATCACTAATTAATTAATAACTCCCTAATTATACGACAAATTTGCCCAAAATCAATAGGCTGAGTAAGATGAATGCACATGCAAAATCTGGGGCAGATTCAATCTCGCTTTCGTGAGATATCGCGTGCATCTAACAGACATACAGACAGACAGACAAATACCTATCAACATACTTACCGATTAAAATCGATAAGTAATAATAGACTACGGATAACAACAGGCACAACATCACTCTGCAATCTCTAGACAATTAATAAATGTAAATATCCAAAAGAAGGCGTACCACATCAAACTCAACAAATATTTTCATTTTCAATCAGCTACACACCCCCTTAAAATTGCTCTTGTGGGACACGCCCCCACTGTTTGAGATTCGCTGGTCTAATGACTGTCATTTTATGCAATATGATGACAATTTTATTGGAGCGTAATTCGGTCCTTCAGATGACTTGTGTTCATAGTTAAATTGAGAATAGGAAAAAGTGTTTACAACTGCCATTTCAAATGAAGTGTTTCTCATTACTTATCGATTTTAATCGGTAAGTATGTTGATAGGTATCTGTCTGTTTGTCTGTCTGTCTGTTTGTCTGTTAGATGCACGCGATATCTCACGAAAGCGAGATTGAATCTGCTCCAGATTTTGCATGTGCATTCATCATATCTCGTACCAGTAGCCTATTGATTTTGGGGCGAATTATGTCGTATAATTAGCGAGTTATTGATTAATAAGTGATGGGACACAAGGTGTCACTATGGAGTAAGAGCGCTGTTTTGGGGGTTCCCTTAACTTTCGATCGATAAGTCTTCGGTCTCTGACCGATATTCTCGTTGTTGGATTGGGAATGTTGAAATCCAACCAATGTCCTATTTTTTGTACCAATTTTTCCATGACAGGTTTTCAATTTGAGCAGGCTACTGATATCTAAGGGGGTACTATTTTTGTAGGGCAGACATTACCTGGGGTTTAAGGGAATGGGTTTTGGACCCCAACCTATGGTGCTAATGTAATTTCAATGCGCTACCTAGTGGTTCCCAGCCGGTGGGTAATTTCCCCACTAGTGGGCAATTCAGGTGCTGTTTGTGGGAAATGAACTTATAAAAATTACTCTCAGTAAACACAATGAATGAATATTATTACAAAATGAAAATCATACTTACTTAAAAGCACCTATTTCTTTATAATATTTTAGATTGGAATTCATTTTTCAAATTTCAGCCTTTGCACTTTCGTTTTTATATTCAAGATTATTTATTTTCATGGAATCTTTTTTTCTAGTGTTAGTTTCTCTACATTGTGATATATTTGTGCTGAATAAGTCGTGTTGTAAAAAAGATATTTTTTCTAGCATTTCTTTCTCTATCCCAGATTTGATCAAAGAAGTTCTGTCTCTTGACCAAGAAATCGTGAATCTGTCTGAGCAACTGCACAAGCACAAGTCATTATTGGTGATGGGTAGAGGATATAATTTTGCTACGTGCTTAGAAGGGGCTTTGGTGAGTATTGCTTTATGTTTTTATAGTTGTCTAAAACAAAGCTCAATGCTCGATACATGATAAAACATATAGGGTGTCCATAAAGTCTTGAAATATTTCAAAATTGCAAAAGGGATTTATTGATACCATATATTGTTTTGGCTCTCACAGATGTATTAAATAAGTAAAAAAACTTATTAGTGATTACTGATTAAAAACAACAAACCTGGCTAAAATATATTGAGAACTGACTTCATGACAAAATTGAAAATTGGCTGTTATCCCACTTATGCTGTCAATTTTCCAGAGGGACGGGCGTTTTTTAAGTACTCAATGTAGTATTTTTTGCCTTACAATTTTTTATCTGTAGCTTATTGTTAGCTAGTTATTTTTGAGGTGGGACGCGAGACTTGACAAATTCTAAAACGTTTGAGAACCACTGTTCTAAAGTCTGAATTGTATATTTTCAGAAAATCAAAGAGATCACATACATGCACAGCGAAGGAATTATGGCCGGGGAGTTAAAGCATGGACCCCTTGCATTGGTTGACAGTGATATGCCGGTACTGATGATTATCGTCAAGGATCAAGTCTTTGGGAAATGCCAGAACGCTTTACAGCAAGTGGTTGCAAGACATGTAAGTCGAGGTTTTTTTTTATTTATTTTTTAAGCGATGTTATAGCCTTAGGAAAGCCATTTCCAAATATCTCGAGACTATAAAGTGGTTGCATGCTATTTTTTTCACAGTGTCAGCACAGCTTTCACAGATCATAATTTAATTTTCTCAGAGACGGAGTCTAATATTTTTACAATCTGTTTCAAATCAATCAACAATCAAATTTTGAATTCAGTAAACCCAGAGATCTGGCCAAAAATTCGTTTTTTACGTTGCTGACACAGAGAAGTTATAACACAGCCCCTATCTTTTCATACTATTTCACAGGGTTGACCAATGTTTTTAATTTTTTAATTTTTAGTTTTCTCTGAGTTTGGAACTGGAGTCTTAAAGATTTTACAACCTGTAGTTCTAGTTTAAATTTTGTAAACCCAAAGTGTAACTTTTCCCGGTTAATACAGCCCCACCAAGTGTAAGTTAATTTGGTGCTCCCGAAGTATGCGATCCAAGATGGCGGACATCGGAACGTAACATGGGTAACAGGTTAGGGTTAGGCGATAATTTTTTTCCAATTTTCCTTATTTTAGTCCTATTATCAGTTCGAAGACTAGCCAAGAGCCTCCCGTAGTATTTATACCTAAAATTATGGCCTAACCCTAACCTAGTACACATATTACATTCCGATGTCCGCCATCTTGGTTCGCATACTTCGGGAGCCCCGTTAATTTTTTAGCCAACCAATGTATCGAAGTTTATTGTGAATTTTCCTGACCCACAGCCCTGCCGAAAACTCATGTTATCTTTTTATAAATGGTTTTTCAGGCTTCCACAGGTCGAATTTGATTTTTTCAGCGCTGTAGAGATTGTTACTTTGACCAGGCAACACAACAATTTATCTTCCTATTTATTTTACAGGGTCGACCAATCATAATCTGTGACAAGGAAGACCAAGAGTCGCCAAAGTGTGCTTCCCATGTTTTAAGAATACCTCAAACGGTAGATTGCTTGCAAGGAATATTAACAGTCATTCCTCTGCAGCTGCTTTCATATCATATGGCGGTTATGAAGGGCCTTGATGTAAGTAATTTATTTTGTTTTGTCTGCTAGGTTGGGGGATACTCCTGGAGTAAGTGAACCAAGATGCTGGACACCCGAACGTAGTGTGTGTACCAGTTTAGGGTTAGGCCATAATTTTATTCCAGGTTTCGTTATTTTAGTTCTATTAAGAGTTCGGGCACTAGCCAAGTGATTCCCATAGTATTTGACCTGAAATTATGGCCCAACCCTAACCTGGTACACATACTACATTCTTGTGTCCACCATCTTGGTTCACATACTACAAGATCACCGTTTAGGGGACTACTTGATGGTATCTGGTTATTATCTCACTGACTTCCAAATCTGTTGTTGGATTAGGTTACTGCCCCATCTCAACTCAAGGGTTCTCAAACATTTGATGTTTTGGAGTGAAGAAGAAGAGTATTATTTACGGAGCCACACAATAAATTTATAAAATTGAAAACGATAAACACATTGTTACTTCTTATTAAAGTTCCTGAGTAAATTAAAATTACTTTATATATTTACTTGGTAGTTTTGGATACTTACAAAATTAGCCAAGTTAGTATTTTAATAGGCAAACAAATAGCTCACACAGAGACCCTAGGTTTCTGTCACAGGGCCTTGGGGCTAGGGCTCTGCGGCCCCCTTAGTGAGCCCCACAGTCCCTGATTGGGAACCGATGTTATAGTCAATTATTTTGGGGCTCTCGAAGTATGCGAACCAAGATGGCGGACATCGGAATGTAATATGTGTACTAGGTTAGGGTTAGGCCATAATTTTAGCTATAAATACTACGGGAGGCTCTTGGCTAGTCTTCGAACTGATAATAGGACTAAAATAAGGAAAATTGGGAAAAATTATCGCCTAACCCTAATCTGTTACCCATGTTACGTTCCGATGTCCGCCATCTTGGTTCGCATACTTCGGGAGCACCATTATTTTTCTGTGCTGTCTGACATCTGAGACGTTGGCTATACTGTATCACAGGGGTTGGCAAACTACAGCCGGTAGTCCGGATCCAGTCCGCGACGCTTCGCTGAATTATATTAACAAAACAGCTGTATTGACAATTATATTTTTTACGTGACAAAATTTGTTTTGAGGCACCAAATTATATTATAACCTAACAAGTATATAATTCACAATCACTCGTTAATGAGCCTATAAATGGCGAAAAAACGTAAAAAAATTGGTGCAAATGGTGACACCGAAAATATTCAAATGATCAGTCTTCGCTTGAAATTTAACTGAAATCTGTGTGAAAAAATGTGATTTATTTGCCAATCCTTCGGTTTTTAACTTTCTAAAAATCTGTGCCAATGCCTTTCAAACTTCAATTTTGGCCCGCGAGCAACAAAAGTTTGCCGACCTTTGCTGTATCACTTGCTACTCAACCATTTGTTCCTTTACTTGCCATTGTAAAGCCTGTCAGCGGCCACTAACTTTTCAATTTTCCATTTCAGGTCGACTTCCCCAGAAACTTGGCCAAATCTGTTACAGTTGAGTGAATAAGAAATATGAAGCAAATGAATAAAAAACGTACAATTTTATATTTTTGAAGCTCCTTGCGAAACATCTGCTCCGAGACTTGTAGAAAACGTGCAGCAGATTTAGTAAAACGCTCTTATACATAAGATGCAGTCTTGTTGTTTTTCTCATATTTTATATATAAATAGAAATATATTCTTACGTTTATTTTATCCAGTGTACAATTTAGATTAATACTGACCCCTTACATTACCCCGTGGGCCTTATTCGGTAACCACCATTCTGGAAAAGCCCAGTTCATGCAAAAGTGCACACTCATTTTTTCTGCATGGGATATATTTTTGATCAATTCTGTTTTCTATATTCTTGTGCAGTAATTCCCAGCTTTTTAATGCATTCCTATTTCTGCTTATTACTTTAGGCTGTTTCTTTTATACCCCAAATAAAAGAGATATTAAAAGTGTGCACGTTCAGAAATTTATATTCCATTTCATACAGAAGTGCTCACTTCATCAAAAACAAACTTTTAATTTTTCTGTGTGGGATGTATTTTCATGATTTGTACTTGCCAGACTTCGGGCAGAATATTTCTAGAGTATTGAGCTATACTTATCATTCGTATGCGACAAGATTATTCCGCAAATATTTGTGACCAAATTATATACCTATATATTAAATGTTGCTGCTCATGCTGTTTTGTATTTATTTATTCTTATATAGATTGATGGGATTCATGACAAGCAAATTTTACACGGCAGTATTGGGGAAGCGTGAGTCCGAGGCATTTGCTCGTTTGACCCTCTTCCTCTAGAAATGAATCTTTGAACTTGAAACACTTTTTTTCCTTCTCGACTCCTAAAATTCAATATTTTTCAATCTCCGACCGCTTGCTGTTTCGGTCTAACTTGACATTCTAAATATCAGAACTTCCCTTGAATCCCAGTTATTTACGAGGTGACTGGAGTTACTTCAAGTTCCTTAAAAATAATAAAACTAAAAAAATTTTATAAACATGAATTAAAATATAACGAACCCGCCACTTCGAGCTCCTTAAAAATAATAAAACTAAAATTTTTTTTATAAACATGGATTAAAATATAACAAACCTGCTAAGATAAATTGAGAACTGACTTCGTACCAAAATTAAAATTGTAACATGACTTCATGGACACCCTGTATTTTTGTCCTTGGGTGTTCATTTAACAACTTTTTATCAAAATAATAGCGTTGCTACCATAACCGAGCCTATACCTACACCTACCTATTGGTAAATGTAAATTTTTATATATTTGTTAGTTGTAGTTTTATGCAGTTGTTACATATTCAGTAATTGCACTTTATTGGTTTGGTTTATCGTTGTATATATTTCAAAATAGGGAGGCGCTCCCGAAATATGTGGACCAAGATGGCGCACAGCCTAAATCCTAACCTGGTACACATACCATGTTCAGGTTGTGTGCCATCTTGGTGCACATACTTCAGGAGCTCCAAATAGGAGAGTGGGAGGACGGGTCATTTTTGACAACAGCTGTGTGGCCACACCCAAATGATTGTGAGAAAACGTACCATACCCCCAACTACAATCTTTTTTTGGCGACTTGAGCTTCCCCCCGCAATCACAAAGCCTAATATATAATCAGGGCTGTGCATTTTTAAATTAATTTCAGTCGATTTAAAAATTGAATCTAGAACGCTTGGAAGTTATATAATTGTATGCGATATTTTTATTTTGATGGGTCCTCCAGGCAAATAAGTTACTGAAAACATCACTCTGCCTATTCGTTCAGCAATCACACACAATAAAAAACATGCTTCATCAACAACTCAAGGAAAAGTTTCGTGTCAGAATTGAATTTTAAAGGCATGGCTTCAAAATATTGAGGATTTTACCTTTGCCTTCCTCTAAAGCGATTAAAATAATTTACTATACGATTCGAAAGGCCCATCTATATAATATATATATGAGTTCTCAATTTTTTTCAGTTTCGTATTCAAAGTAAGACGATGAAATTTTGGTGCTTATACTCTTGTTATAATGTTGAGGTACTTTCCGCTTTTTATTTTGCTTTTATATGTATTATAATTATATTTAGAGGAGTCAGACTTGTGTTATTCGTGTTGTTGTAGCCAGGAGTTTCCAACTTTTTTATATATTTCTTCCCTTTTCTCCTTTGGATTTCTTCGTTCACCCTTCGCTATGCTTCGGGTATTTATTCAATCCTCAAAGCAGTGGTTCACAAGGTCACACCTGTTATGATTTGTGAACTTCTGGAGGCTTTTCAGAATATAGGCCCTAAAAAATTATGGGCACCCACCACAGGGTCTAATCCAGGGGTGGGCACAATTTTTTAGTATAAGAGCCGCATGCTGCAAGTCAGAACTTTAAAAGAGCCGCAGAATTTGTGAATTTATTAATATTATCGAAATACTATGAACAGAAAAGAATTCCACACAAGAGTCTAATAACAATAAGACAACTCTGTTTTCATCTTCGCACTTTCGTTTTTCTAATTTTGGACACATCGCACAGTAACTTAGAGTTTGCAATCAAGCTGCAATATCGCCGACGCATCAATAAACATTGACCATTGTGACGAAAGATTTGCTGACTCGACTGATTTAAATTCAACGCTACAGCGATTTTCATACTAAAACATAATTTGTCCAAATTATTGACGAAAACTTCTTTACGACTTAATAAATTAAAAGAGTTTACATTAAAGATTTTCTCTTAGTTAAAATTTGCATAATAATTTATGTTTGCGAGAAGAGCCGCACAATGCTTGCTCTTTTGTGCAAATTGTTTTAACATAATGTGATTTGGAATCTATCAATGAAAATAACCCTATTAATACCTCTGGAATATTAAAGTGGGGGCCATGAGTGCTAAAAGCCTCCGAAAGGGAGCCACGAGTCATAAAAGGTTGAGAACCACTGGCCTAACAGTTAGATATTTCAGAAACCCCTCTCCTCTTCGCAAATTCCTGGTTACACTCCTGGACTGATAACGCCGGAGAATGTTCGCCTGGAGCGTCCTTTGGAGAAGAGAGGGCAGTGAAAGGCTAACCACTAAAAAACGCTAAGTCCTATGTTGCATTCATATAATATTATCATTATTGTGTAACATTGGTATTTATTACATCACAATCTAACAAGTACAGAGCAGACGACGCTAAATTAAGCATGGATCAAATGTATTTATATATCATTTGAATACGTTTCATGGGTGGCCCTAAGATATGAAATCCTCATCGTTGTTCCAACACTTTCAGATATAAATACGATTTCCGGTCACGTGTGAAACAGACTTTCTGATGGCGAACTGATCAATCGCTAACTGTTAAAAATAGTAGGCAAAAGTAACGTTAATTTTACAGTTATTCGTTCATATTGATTGGTTATACTTAGTAGCACGTTTGCGTATTTGCATGTGTTTTATTTGGAAAGTAAGCTATCATAAATACGTTGGTGAATACTTTGAAATTTTTGAAACATTAACGGGTTTGTTAATAGCTTCTGGCTGCCCTTTAGCTGCGTGTTCTTGGATTAATAGTTCAAGTCAGTCAGCGTTTCGCGGATTGTAGAATTGAATATTCAGACGAAGGGAATTGTTTTTCAGAATGTGTAGTTGGGGGGGGCTCGCATCTATTATGCAGGGTGTCTCAAATATGTCGCGTCTTATGTATCCGAGTGTACAAATCTTACTTAATTTGATTACTTTAGATCAGGAGTTCTCAAACTTTTTGTGTTATGGAGCCCGAGGTTGACTATTACTTGCGGATCCCTACAATGAATTTATAAAATTAAAATTATCTATTGGAACTTAGCGCCTAGTTGCCACAATTCGACGATCAAATCTTATTGATGTCGTTAAATGCTTCTTTAGACAGTTACAAACATTTCAATAAGTAAACGAATAGGCTAACTCGCGGAGTAGCTAGAATTATACTATGGAGCCCTATACTCTAACCTGCTTTTGTTTTATAATTCAAAATATAGCATGAACTCCACTTCATATACCTAATTTAACCATTTGCCGAAAGTTTCATATCTATATTAACTCAAAACGTACCAAGAATCCCACTTCGTATACTTATTATTTATCTATTGTGACCCAGGACTCACCACAATATGTTCCTCTACTAACCCAGGACAGGGGGATAAACGCGCTAAAAAGTAGACATGACATTTTTGAGTCACCGTACCGGATGGCACATTATGTCAGCCGGAGAACACTTTCGTGTAAATGTCTAGTCGCGTGGGCTTTGCCTAGAACAATTTTTGGGTTTGGTTATAACAATAGTTTTGTTTTCAAACGAAAGTAATACCTATCTTACTTTGTGTGCGTTTAGTAAGTTTAGGTGATATCCCACTATTGGCTCAATGCTAATTTTCTAATCTGTTTGGCTTAGATTAGTTCAGTTTGAGTAAGGTTAGCAAACGTATCAAAAAGTTGGGTTGGCTTCCATATTTTGTATATTTGAAAATCTCGTAATTCTCTAATAAATGAAAATAAAGGACAGACCCCGAAAATAAGCCCTAGTGCTATTTTCCAGGGAAAAGAACAATAAGGCACAGTCATATTTTCGGGGAAACAAGGTCGCTTTTGTAACAATTCAATGAACACTGCCAGGAAAACAGCCAAGTGAATGTAACTATTCAAAACAGCGAAGAAAATAGCTTTGTAGAGAGCTGAAACTGAATAATCAGCCTTTTTTAGAAGCAACGGAACTGTTTTCTGTCAGACATGAGCAATGTATCATGGCTTTAATCTCAAAACCATTAGCTAGTGCATGTCAGCATTTGGGTTATCAGCTAACTCGTCAAAGCTTATTTCATACATGCGGAAGACATAAATTTGTATGTGTCACTATACGTGTATTGCGTCATAATTAATTTAATCGCGTTTAGTTGCGTGACAATATTGACTACTACGTCGAAATTGATATCTTTCAGCATTACAATGTTACAAGTATTCGTGCGTGCGATGGGATAAAATTAGCATATTCATCCTGGGGGAGAGAAAAGCCGATAAGAATGTTCAATCCTATGGCGAACCACAGCCTCTTGTCCGGTTACCAGTCCATGTCGTGTATGGTATTAGTTAGCCAGTAATTTGTTTTCGGAAGCATGGACTTGATGAGGGAGGAAGCCGTAACCGACCAACTGTTACGTAAACCACCATTCATAATTTTGTATGTGTCACTATATATACGTGTATTGCGTCATAATTAATTTAATCCCGTTTAGTTGCGTGACAATATTAACTAATATGTCGAAAGTGACTAAAGTACTCGTGCATACCAGCAATGGCTAATTGCAGTGTTTCCCAACTTGTTATCGTATATTTCTCGAGATTTTGGCCGCATTACAAACGCAAATGTAGATCAATAAAACAGAAATCCACGATAACGCGAAGTCCTACTTATAAACATTAGGCATCATAATACCGCGATAGCAAGCTCTCATGCAAGTACTTTTGAAGGAGAAAATTTGGAATAAAACCCAGCTAATGAGTTTAAAGAAAAGTAAGAACATTTTATCCGGGGGATGGAACCCGATTATAGACGACTTAATCTTTCCTGATAAACGAGGTCATTCGTCTTCTTCCGGGTTCAGTTCCTGTAAGAGAAGCTTTTAATAGTATATATATTAGTAATACAACAGTAAATACAAAGCAACCTTTTCCTC